TTTATGAAACCACATTTACTTATTTTGATCATTAGTGACTATAGAAGCCCTCTCTATGTTTTTTGTTGCATGATTCCTCTTCCTACATTTACAACATTTTGCAGTGACTAGTTAATGGAGCTTACTACAATATATAAATCAAAGGCTTTTATTTAAATGTAATTTCAACAGCCTACATTTAAACAAAAACCCACTGCAGTAAATCTAAATCTTTCACACTTTGGATGTGTTTTCAAGCTGACCGCTTTCCTATATAGTTTCTAAGGATCCTGTTTCTTGAATAAAGACTTACACATATTAGAATGATCAATCATTGCTTAAAATTTTGAGTTGTTCAAGGTAATTAAAGTAGTCTTGTTCTTACGCACGGTAGCAACATGAGGTACTACCAAATACTGTGCTATAATGCTAAGACAGTAATTTTCATATCTTCTTACTGTGGTCATGTTCTTAGAGCTGGTTCACATACTTGTGAACCAGCTCTACTACTGCAGTACAATCGGTTTTTGAGTCGCTTGTGACTGCTTATGATAGTAAAGACTGATTCACACTTCTGCGACCGACTCCGACCTACTCCGGCACAACCGGTTCTGAAGCCACTTACAACTGCCATTGCTACTGCACGGCCCGTCATAGGCAGTCACGAAAAGCTTAAAAACCGGTCGTAGCATAATCGGTTGTAGTCAAACGCATGTGTGTGAACCAGCCTTATTAAGCAGCTGCAAGTTGCTTAGAAACCAGTTGTAGTGCAGTCAGTCACAGTCAAACGCAACTGTGATAACCAGCCTTTAGCAGCTGGTATTTCTGTGTTACATTGTTTTAACAGAGCATGCTCTTTCAAGATAAGATTATTTTTAGGTACAGCCACGGTTATGGGCACAAGACATTAGAAGAATGCCGTTGGTAGACAAAAGTTTTTTTTGTCGATAATTAATTTTGGAGTGGTAGCTTTGTTAGTTGAGTGTTCTAAAACAGGACTACTTCTTTTGCGGTGAAGCTCTCTCATTGCCCGACTCTTGTCTCGCCAGGAGACCGATCGTGCAGACTCCGAAGACGAGAGTCTGTGCGAGGGAAAGCAGGTCCTTGTTGGCATTTGTGCCATGTCCAAAAAGTCTCAGTCCAAACCGATGAAAGAGATTCTGACAAGACTGGAAGAGTTTGAATACATCAAGACGGTTGTATTCCCGGAAGAGGTGATACTGAATGTACGTACACATGCCTATGAGGCATCTACTACATGAACTCTTTCTGGTCTGCAATCAAATGTTGTGCAGTTTAGTTTCTTGACATAACATGTAGTATTATGCAATAGTGTGGCCTAAGGGTTAATTTGTGTGTTGCTAACCCAATGTGTGCCTACTTAACGGAGTGAAAAATTGTAGCTAGAATGTAGTTGACTTATAGATTGAACTTATTCTATTGGCTATCAAAACTGAGAATAAGTATCTGAAGTACTCTTTTTAGTAATAATATGAATGGAGGGGAAAAAGGGGCTCATGGCTTCCCATCTGTAGTCTAAACAAATGCCAGTGGGTACTGTGCCAGTGATCAGCCTTAGTGGCAAAATCTTTTTTACATACAGGTAGTACATGGGCCTGGATAAGCGTGTACGATTTAGTCTTTTGAAGAAATATCCACCTCTTAAACAGGTACTCCGGCGATTTTTTCATGGTCGCTGATTTGCCTTGAAATTGGTTCAACACACTGATAGACACGGCTGTGCCAGTTCTCTAGATATTGTGTGAAAAGAAAAACATTTAGCAAAGTTATTGAATTTTCGAATTTCGTTTTCATCGTTTCTTAAACCGAGAGCCCTACTGTCAATGTTGAAGTGTGACCACAGAAATGGTACAGAGTTGGCAGTAAGCCATGTTCCAACTGATTGCAAGATGTTTGATGGTGGGAAAAGAATGCTTAATAGCTGATTCACTGAGAAGCATGCAAAAAACACTTGACATAATCTGTTTAAGACTACCTGCACGACCTGAAAGTTTGTACCATGTGTGACATCACACCACTGGAGAGCGTATGGAAATTTGAATGCTGGTTTCGGCATCATATTTATTTATGGTTTTCTCAATTTCTATTTTGAATTTCAAGAAAATGAATATCATACCGTGAAGAATAAAGTCCGGCTAGTCCGAAAATGCAATTTTTTGGGGTAGCTCAGAAAACGGCCGGGGTACCCCTTTAATTGCATCTCCCGAGAAAATTTTAGCATACATCGTCAAGTGGCAGATTTTTCGGGATGCAGCGAATCAATTTCACATCAACCCTTTTAGTAATTTGTTTCTTGTTTCCAACAGTCTATTGTGAACTAGATGAAGTGCTAGAAAAAGCAAGCACCCAGCTTCTTTGAATAGTGCTTAGGAATAGGTGAGCGTTTGTATGTATAAGGCACCCATGAGCCTCAATCTCTTTTGTGCCACACTGTTCTATTGAAGGCATGAGCACACATGCACATCCAAGGTGCCTTCCTATGCTAGGCCATTCAGACCATGCAGTGGTAGACATTTGGAAACACCTGATGGTTGCAAGGTGCTCCATTTTTCCGGTGCTATTGGAGAGCCTGTACTTTATTTATAGTCACCCACAAGGTGAGAGTGACTGGGAGCAGCTTCAGTTGCCCCGCCTCCAGCGCAAGCTTTTTACCTTCGACAATGGTTCAATGTCTTGTGCTCCTCGAGTGCATGCGCGCAGCCAAAGCACAACGGAAGGCATGGAGCACACGCATTCTGTCCACAAAAACTCCCGAGTTCGAGAATGGCTCCAGTAGAATATCCCCCTGGGGGCACGCTCATACGGTGGGAGCACCTTAGAAAGAGCATTCTTTTTGTAAGCTTGCAACTTTCCGTTGAGCGCAAACCTCTTGGAAAGTATTTGCATCAGGGTGCAATCCAGCCCTGCGTACGAGGGACGGAAGTAATTGCTCCGTAGATTTGGTTCGTCATTTTTTGGGACTTGGGTGTCACCTCTGAAGTTGTTTTCGTGGTTTTTGTTCCAGGAAAGCGTGGAGGATTGGCCCCTGTGTGATTGCCTTGTGTCCTTTCATTCCAAGGGATTCCCTCTCAATAAGGCTATTGAATATGCGGAACTGAGGAGTCCCTTTATTGTCAATGACCTGTACATGCAGTATGACATTCAGGACAGGTACGAGACAGACATCCTCTCACTCCCTCCAATTTTTGTTAAGTCTTTGACTGGTGGCCTTGGATGGTATTGGGGAAATCAGTGAGCTTTGTATTACGGATGAGCAAATGCTAAAAAATCAGCTACCAAAGTAAAAAAAAGTAGTGCTTTTTACTAGGTTATGCAATTGCTCATTATATGTAGACGCAAGATATGCACTCCTAATAACCCTGCCGGAACACCCATTGGGGCTACTTACTCAGATTGCAGCCAATTTGCAAAGCTTTTTTTTTATTTTCCTCTGGTTTGTACAAAAAAAAAAGGAAACCAGGACAAAAAGCTTGACAAGGTCCTGTCTTTCTAGTGAAATTTATATATGTAAATGTGTATGTTTCTTCAGCTTTTTTCTTCTTTATGCTCTCTTGAGCAATAGTCCAGTTTGTCATACATAACCTTCTCCCTGGTGATATAAACCATTACTTTCTAAAGAAAATTTTAAATTTTTTCAGAAGCATTGTGCCTGAGCTCATAATCATGGGTGCTGCTCATTCCGTACTAAAATTAAATTATAAAGTCGGAAACTTTCTCTGCACGTTTCGAAAGTACCATTTCATAGAAGTTTCTCGGCAAGCACTCACTCATTTTTCTTTTCAGGAGGAAAGTCTATAGCATTCTTGAGAATGCTGGCATCGAACTACCGAGATATGCAGTCTTGGACAGAGAATCTGCTGATGAAAGGCGTACGTACAACTGAAAACCCCACTTTCTTCTGCTGTTTTTGCTATTGCTGCGATTCTCCATCTTCCTGACATGTCTGTTATGTAACAATGTTTTTAGCATCAGTATACATTTCTACACTCGTTTTCACCTCAAGGATCACAGTAAAAGATAGTCCGGCTCCTCACCATTTTTTTTCATGTGGGGAATTAAGATTACCGTAAAATCCCGTAAGAACGGCCACCCAAAAAAATGAAGAGATAAATGGTGAAAAACGTGAGGGTGGGCTATCTTTGGGGATGCCACAGCAAAACTTTATCAAAAATTAATAATAAGCACCGGGGCGCCCGCTACAAACCACGTGACGCAGAAACTGATGCCGCAGATTGCGGACACGGCAAATTTGCGTTTCGCGATGCGTTAAACATGCGGGGATTCTCCACAAACTCCTGCGTCACTGGAAAGGTTACCGCAAGTGGCCAACGCAGCAGATTCGCATTTCACGGTGCGAAGGACTCGCGGAAACCCTCTGAGGACTTGCATCTCACGAGAACAGATACCGCAGATCACGGGCGCAGCAGATTCAAGTTCCATGGTGCAATAAACACGCAAGAACCCGCTACAATCTCGCCTGTCGCGGAAACTGATATTGCGCGCGCAGATCGCGGACAAAAACGCGAGAATCTGGTACAAACTCGCATGTCACGGAAACAAAACCGCAGATCGCGGACACAGCACAACGGCATTTCACGATGCAATATACATGCGGGAACAGCTCACGCATGTTACAGCTAAGTATCAATATTGCGCGTGCAGATCACGGACAAAAACACGGGAATCTGCTACGAACTCGGGAACGGATTACTGCAAATCGCGAATGCAGTAAATTCATATTTCACGATGTAATATACACGCGGGAACAACTCGCAAGTTACGGGAGCCTATATCACACATGCAGACAGCAGAAAAAAATGCGGGAACCTGCAATGAACTTGCTTCTCGGACGTACCGGTACCGCAGATCGTGCTGTTTATGCACCATTCCAGTCGGACATCGCTTGACGTTTAATGGAAATCAAGGGGGTGGGCGATGTTTTGGAATGTTTATGTTATGGATATTTAGCCAGAAAAACGGGATAGGCAATCTCTCGAGAAGGGGCATCCTTGCGGGATTTTACGGTATACTATATATAATATCTTATCAAGACATACTTGTCTCAAACACCAAAAGCATCGCTTCCTCCTCCAACAACCATATCTCGTAATAACTACTTCATGCGGCATTTGAACAATGCACAAACTTGCTTTTTTCTTAAGGTGAAAACGAGTCTGGATGCATTGAAGGCATGTTTTTTTGGGGGGGCCATTTCGGCTTTTAATTGATGCCTTGTAAATCTTGCAGGCATTCACATTGATGCATGACAGTTCATGTAAGAACAAGTAAAGATCAATTTTATTTTTAAAGTTCTGAATCATCTGGAGTTCCAGGACCTTCAATAAGAAGCTTTTCTTTTTCAAATATTGCAAGATGTGAGCTTTAATAATGTGACACTATACGGTGGGAACTACGGGCTTGTCCGACCAATCGATCCCCTGTGCCTATTACCGCCTGACACCGCTCTCTTCACATGAGCATGGGCAGAGAGCATAATGTTCACTGCTCCGCCACGCACGTAGCTTCAACGTCCCCACCAGCTTAGCGGTGAGTGTATTGTAGGGGGCATTCACATCTGGTGATTATAACGAGTTGTGGCTAAATTAAAGGGAAGCTACGGAGGTTCTCGAAAAAAATGAGTTAGAAGGGAATTCTAGTGTATATTTACCTCGGAACCCGAATATCCAAACCATTTGCCGCGCAGGTATTGTTAAATGCGAGAAAATGCGAAAGACAGTCACTGATGTGACGTCATCGACGTATCTTTTGGCTGCTTAAAGGGGCGATGCAACAATTTTTGCACTTTGCGCAAATACTGCTTAGAACGGATCCCTGACATTAATGACCTATGAAACATGCGTTCGTTTTTCACCCCACGTAGTACAAGTCCCAGGAAAAAATTAAAGAAAAACAAGCAGCATTCACCCCCTCAACTCGCAGCCAGAACAAGCGGCCACGTGATCTGGAGCCGATTATATGCCGCCAGTGTAGATCATATAGCCACGCGCTGGGGTTGGCAAAGCACAGGGCACGCGCTGAGTTCCAGATATTGTTATGGCTCGGCTATTGTCGTCGTTGCAGCGATTGGACACGGGCCACTACCCAAATGCTTCTCGAGCTAGCAATTATCTCGAGCCCAAATCGAGTGCCCACGCAATGCTCGGGTCCAATCTATGAACAGCATTAAAATATCGTGATATGGGTGTACCGCGATCCCCACGTTACGTCATGAAATTTTGCAAAGGAGAGATTGAATGAAAATGATCGCTTTGGTCCTTGAAATTACACCGCAACAAAGGAGTTTCTTGGCCAGCGGAGTTGCGTGCGAGTATCCATGACTCCCACTAGTGCCAGTAAGCTTGTGTATAGTGAAAAACATTCCAACTGAATATCGTTGCACAGCTCCTTTAAGGCTAGGGAGGCGGGGCTTCAGCCCTATTTTGAAATTGCTCGTGTGGATCTCCGGCGGGTCGCAATGAAACCTAATTGTGATATCTGTTATCCTAAAGGCCAAATGAACGCATTTCAAGTGTTTTTTCTCAAATGCAGAAGTGCCCCATCTTCCCTTTAACTTATTGCCTGCTAAGGTCCATACTTTTCAAGACACGAAAGGAATTTGGTAAAAGCTCACTGTCGGCTCATGCTAAACAGAAGCACTCTCAGCTATGGTGGCCAGTAAATACTGCCTATAACTGGTCACAAGATTCATTAATGGTGCTCTTGCCCATCTCAGTTCCATAACCAGTTGTGCCCACTCACTCGCTTGCAGAACGGGAACTGGTTGAAGGGGAAGATCACGTGGAAGTAAATGGTGTGACGTTCAACAAGCCTTTTGTGGAGAAGCCCATTTCGGCTGAGGATCACAATATCTACATCTATTACCCCACAAGCGCAGGGGGAGGCAGCCAGCGGTTGTTCCGAAAGGTGGCCGCCATTCCTTCATTTCCTTGTTGATCATTTTGGCGCTCTGTTTGTACATCTGGCGGTACTTTGCTTCTGAACTGACGCACCTGCTTTTCTCAGATTGGAAGTCGGAGCAGCGTTTATTCGCCCGAGAGCAGAGTGAGGAAAGTTGGCTCGTTCATCTACGAGGAGTTTATGCCCACGGACGGCACAGATGTGAAGGTTGGTCCCAATGTCTTTATTTTTGGCACAATACGACTCTTTAATGCAGAGGCTATGTTGCTGCGATGTACTCCCACGCAATACCCGCCTGCTTCATTATCTCTGGATTTGTAATATGTTTCAAAGAATAGGACCTAAACTTAGTGCTCCATCACTAGTTTCGAACTAAATCTTTTTCATGAACAGGCAGGCTCACAGTTGGAAGTCTGTTTTAGCTCATATCATTCGTGATGGTATGGCATTGTTTGCCTGGGTGCTTATTTTTTAATTTTAGATTTCGCACCACACCGCTAAAATTTTAATGTCAGAGCCGTGTGTATGGTACATGCGACAAAACTCTGGCGGTAGACCTTGGTGCTTGATACCGACTTGTGCGTGTTTAATTCGGTTCGGTGCCAGTTAGGCGATCTGTACTGGACACTATACTCGGCTAGCCTGGCGTGTCTTGCAGTGGAGTGAATGCACGTGGCGAGACGAGAAATGCCTGCCCTGATGCTCGCAGGTGTACACGGTAGGACCTGATTATGCGCATGCTGAGGCGCGCAAGTCTCCCGCACTGGACGGGAAGGTGGAGCGTGACAAGGAAGGCAAAGAAGTGCGCTACCCTGTCATCCTGACCAACACAGAAAAACTGATTGCCCGCAAGGTTTGCCTGGCCTTCAAGGTATGCTGCTGTGTTTATTGATGGGATAGTCTTCTTTGCTAGGTAACTAAGGACGTGCTTTTGGTTGAAGCGCCATATCTCAAGTTGAATGTTCATCTTGATGCTGAGCTCTAACTGTTAACTAACGTCTTTTGACTGAACATGCATGAATTTTACGACACACGCAAATATTATGCACACGAGGCAGGAACATTTTTTAGATGCTGTAAATAGATTTTTTTTTGCGAGGGCCTTCCATTAGGGGATTTCAGTTTTACACTACTTGTTTACATTTTGAGAGGAATTAGAACCATGAATTGGAATGTGGGCAGCATAGCCGACAGAGTTTGAATGTCTCAAGCTCGTACAATAAAATGCACTTTCTTTCTTGAGCTCACATGCACTGCGTCGTTGTGTCTCTTGTCACTACAACCTAATTTTCACGAATTTTGCTACTTTACAAATATTAGGTAAATTTGGTTTCACGAATATGTCACCCCATGGTAAAGAGCACACACCATATCACTCCATATCGCAAAATTTTGCATCCGCAAGATATTTTTGGAACTCGCACTTTCCAAAAAAACCAAATATCGAGGCCGCGAAAGTAAAGTCCTTTACAGTATCAGAATATGTCAAGTATGAACAAAAAGGGACTAACACGTTTTTATTATCATAGCATAAAACAAAACATGTAATTCTTGACATTTGCTTTGCATCGAGGTAGTGCAGTGTGTCTTAGTATACTTGCGGGGGTAATAGTAATTACAATAATAAAATTATGATTGTGTTTTAGGAATACCTAATGCACACATGTTTTGAGCCTGTCTAGAAGGAATGCCCCCATGCATGCTGGTCCTCAGCACTGTGGTGTCCGCAGCACCATCATGGCAGATGCCACATGCCACTGTGCACCTTATTCATTGGAGAAGCATTGCTGGGTTAGCCCACATGCCATAAAAATATTTTTAAATATTCTGAATCTGGTTTTGACGCCACAGTTGTGTCCAAAAACTAAACTGAATACATCATTGTTAGAATCGATACTCAAATGTTTCAAAATTTTAAATGCCTCTTACGAATAAGGTTGGAGAGGAGAACACAGAACGGGCAGTTTGTTTCAAGCTTCTCTCACCATTGAGCTGATTAAAACTTTTGCTGCAGCAGAAGTGCATACATATATAACTTCCAGAGCCACGCTAACCGAAGCAGCTCTGCCGGCGCAGGGGGCCCGGTATAGGATCACCAAGCGAGCTGTCGGTGTTTTGATTCCCGCCGAGGGACACTGTCTCTCGCGAAAAGGACTGCATTGCCATTATCTTGTTTCAACCTCTCGCATCTCGAGACTTGGAAATCAGCCCTAAAACACATTTCACATTAATATATGCATGCGTCTTGTTCGAAATTAATCCAGTAGACTGGCCCTCCTCCGTCCTTGTACTACAGCCCCCGACAGAGTGAGGATGGCAGGGCATAGCTTTCAAACACCTGGCCCCCATCACGCACTCCGCACCTTCAGCCGCGTTTTGGCCGCGTGCGCACGCTCAAGGTGCACGAGACATTGAAGCGTCGTCGAAGGCTAGGAAGCTTGCGCTGGAGGCGGTACAGCCGAAGCTCCTCCCTGCCGTCATTCTCTTGTCCTCTGCGACTGCTGTATAGTGACAGTCTGGCATTTCCTGCGGGCGTTCCAGCAAACGGTGTGCGGGTTCGACCTGTTGCGGGCCAACGGCAAGTCGTACGTGTGCGACGTGAACGGGTTCAGCTTTGTGAAGAACTCAATGAAGTACTACGACGACTGCGCCAAGATCCTGGGCAACATGATCCTGCGGGAGCTGGCCCCCCAGCTGCACATCCCCTGGTCCATGCCCTTCCAGCTGGACGACCCCCCCATCGTGCCCACTACCTTCGGGAAGATGTGAGCCCTCTTGTCTTTTGCTCCTCACTTCTCCCCGTTTTCTGAGCCCGCTCTCCGTTTACCCCCCATCTGACAGTGCGGTGAAAACCCCCCATCTGACAGTGCGGTGAAAGGTATATGTGCTTGCTGAACTGGTCGTACGCCCGTCTTTTGGCATTCGATCGCACTCCCTCTCGCTCCTGCTCGCAGAAAGCGAGGCGACGTGATGAAAGGCAGGCGTTTGATTGGTCTGGCTAGCACAGATCTCCCATTGCCGTGTCAGCTTAGTGGTGAACGGATCGTGGACTGAAGGTTTCACAGTATTTGTGAAATCAAATTTATGTTCTATCTATAAGAAATGGTCTCTTGTAACATTGTGAGGATTATTGGAAGCCCATAGTGAAAGAACAACGCGTAAAAAGAAACGGAGATACATGTGTAGGTTCGGAAGCGTTGCACGGCTACCGGACCGATCACGGGTGGTCACAACACGCTTAGGTAGTTACACTTTAACGCAAACATAAGAACCAGAGTTTAACCTTCAGCTGCCCTGTATTGAAGGGTGAGTCGTGTTATGCATCAACTTCCGAGAGCATTCACAAATGTTTCCCGCAATATTTTAAGGTTCAAATTATATAATGAAAAATATTCTAGAGTCCTTTTATGTTTGTGTCAGCGACTAGTGAGGAGCGTAAAGGCAACCTTTGTAAGTTGCCTTCAGTCGCAACTTCAGTCTTGCAACCAAATGCAACCTTTGTAGGTGGCCTTTCGGTCTCGAGACATTGTGCCTGCGTGTATCTTGTCGAGAAAGTTATTTCGGACTGGTGACTTCCAATTTGTGTCACGCCACTTTTAAATCTTTTCCACATTGTTCCGCTGACCTTTAGCCCAGATTTAAATGGAAGCTCTGGTTGATGCTGCCACTCACAGATGGCACAACTTAAAGCGAAAACATAAAAGTTTCTTTGAGATGAGCACACAAGAGAAGATATGAGCATGTGTGGTACCTCCTGTGAGTAGTGGCTTCAACCACTTAGTTTTTACCGTTTTCTATACTCTGCATAGAAAAAAAAACACTTTTTGGGCTTAAATTTTTTTTCTGAAACCCACACTTATAAAATTTAAGTATGATAAATGCACCACCTAAAGGCATCTTTGTGAAAAGTTCCAATGAACTGCATTCATTGGTTTACTTGTATTAATTTTTCTATGCCCGGATAGCGCTTGAAAAACTCTGTAGATGATATTGGGTAAGCCATGGGACCTGAAACTAGATTGAGAGTACCACTTGAATTTCCTCGAGCATACAAATTTCTGCTGTCGTCCCTTTACCAAAGTAAATCGCCTTTTTGACTGAGGCACAATTTAGGCATAATAGAGCTAAGCCATGCACTGGTGCATAATCATGAGCCAAACACTCCCACCTTTCTCCCTAATGTGCGAGCAGTATTGTTAACAAAATTCATAAGCTTTTGAACTGTTTCGTTGCAAGAATGTCAAGAGGGGGTGGGTTTGTTGGCTGTTCATTAGCTAAAAAGGGGCTCTTCAATAGCAAATGTTTTGAGCACCCTTTGTGTAAGCTGCTGTGTCCCTGGTAATTCATATTGTGGAAACCAATTTAGTTCAGCTTGATGATGTTGTTCATTGATACCTAATGTCGATAGCTCTGTCCTGCAACACACTTTACTGGAGTTATGTTTGTTGAACTACACCTGGTGTTCGTTCGGGTAATGTCCTATTCGAGGTGCTTGTACAGGGTGTCACAAAAGAAAATTGACACTGTCTTTTTTACCTCAAAAATAAACTAGGCATCGCCGAATGCTCATTCTTCATCCAAAGGTAGAGCTAGAGGTCAGAACCAGATTCCAAAGTTTCAACCCGATCTCATAACTTAATCAAAAGTTATAAGTGATTTTCTGAAAATTTCAATGGGAAAATGGCGGCCGACGGAGTTTTCGAACCCATGGGGCTCTATGGCACCAGAAACCGAAAACGGGCAAAAATGGGCTCCATTTTCCCATTGAAATTTTCAGAAAATCACTTATAACTTTTGATTAAGTTATCGGATCGGGCTGAAACTTTGGCATCTGGTTGTGACCTCTAGCTCTACCTTTGAACGAAGAATGAGCGTTCAACGATGCCTAGTTTATTTTTGCGGTAAAAAAGACAGTGTAAATTTTCTTTTGTGACACCCTGTATACTTTTAGGTGGCTGCTTGATGGCAGTAGTGGCTTCAGTATTTGTGGTGATGAGTTACACCTGGGCATAAATAAGTAGATGTGCTCCTTTCGTGTTATATGTCTGCTTTGCAACTGGTTGTGGTGATGTTGGGTTACTGTTTAAACTTTAAAAACAAAATAGATAATCAAATAACGTCTGAAGTCAAGTTTGTAGTCTTTTTAATCTTTTAAGTAATCTTTTTACAGGATGGAACTGAGATGTGTGATAGCAGTCATTCGCCATGGCGACCGCACTCCAAAGCAAAAAATGAAAATGGAAGTAAAGCATCCAAAGTAAGTGTAGCACTGCTATTAGTGTGACAAAACAAGATGCTTGTGTAATTTTCTGCAAATTATATTCATTTCTTACTCCTCAGATTCTTTGAGCTTTTTGAGCACTATGGAGGGTTCAAAGATGGGCACATCAAGCTCAAGAAGCCAAAACAGCTGCAGGTAGTACTATTGCTTGCTTCATGCTCACTATAGTGCTTATGCGGTTATACCGTCACCTTCCTAACGAATAAGACTTTAGACGGGGACTTTACGGCAGCTAATGTTGCAGGAAATTCTCGACATCTCTCGTTTCCTTCTGAGTGAGATTGAGCACAAGTCAGACCCCGAGGTGGAGGAAAACAAGGCCAAGCTGGAGCAACTCAAGTCCGTGCTGGAAATGTGAGCTCACTAAACTGCCCAGAGGGCATAGCCTTCTAAGGTCGCATCACTAGCGAAGAAACCTCATGGGGCACCTCAGTTTTGCTGCAGTGTCTAGAACACGCCTCCAACTGGCGTGTTTACCGCCGTGTGCCACCCACGCATCAAAAATGGTCCCGTGGTGGCAACCAATTGTCACGGGAGCCAGTGTGTCATGCCGTCGGACGTTGCAATCCTGGCGATTGGTGGTAGAAATGCCGGCGAAATGGGCGAGCGGATGCAAGGGTCGCCATCATTGCACGTCCAAACTCAGGTCTGCTTTAGTTTATGTCGGCCGTCTGGCTGCAGAGCGGCCTTCAGCAGAACGGGCGTCTGCCACTTCCACCGCCATGCCACCGCCGGGATTGCTACGGGCAACGGCACGACACTTAGAATCGTAGGATTCTAAGTGTTGGGCCGACACAATAAGCGCACCAGTCGGAGACGCAGTCCGAGCACCATAGTATGACGCCCAACATTTCGCTGAGGCTTAGCTCCTTCAGGGCCCTGTCACAATTCGCTGAGTCGCCTGACAAAATGCCGACTGCCGTTCTAAAGCTGACCGAGAAAGTCTTTTTTTTTTTTTTTACTGCATTCCAGTTTTTGTTATTTCGACGCAATCGTGTGATCTGTTGACATTTTTCAGGTACGGTCATTTCTCTGGAATAAATCGCAAGGTGCAGATCAAATATCAGCCCAAAGGGAGACCACGTCACTCAAGCAGTGACGAAGGTATGACAATTATATGGGGTCTTCAAAATGTCTTGTCCTCACTTGTGATTTTTTTTATAAGTTTAAAGTGTTGTTTTGGCCACTAGATACCTTGTAAATATTGTTACCACTGGAAGTGGGGAAATTCTGTGCCTGTTTTGTCTTTAGAACCAGCCCCCTTAAATTAAATATTTTAAGCAGTAGATAAATGCATTGGACATGTAGGCCACCAACCATAAAGTGCTATCTACTTAATTGTCAAACATGTTGAGTGTGTGTCGGGTCTTTGCACTTTCTCCATTGTCGTACCTCCCTCGACATCAGTGTCCCAGAAGGGTATGGGGGATGTGCAGTATCCCAGAAGGGCATGAGCATTGTACAATGTCCCAGAAGGACATGGAGGTTGTACAATGTCCCTGAAGGGTATGAGGGACATATAGTGTCCCAGGAGGGTAGGGGCAAAATGCAGTCTCCCAGAAAGGTATGGGAACATGCAAGGTCTTAGCAGGGTATCGAGGATGTGCAATATCCCAGAAGAGTATAGACGCTTTCAGGCAGCTGTGCATGGGCGCCGCCATAACCGACCTTCAGTTTTTGTTCCCTCTTATTCCGTTCGCTCCACTTCATCATTACCACAGCAGGGCAGGTCATTGCCATTTTAGATTTTATCGTGTCCTTCTCCCCAGCATAGGCACTCATAGAGACTCGTCAACGCCCGCTTCAGTTGCTCGGCATCTCAGTAAGGCAAGAGAAGGTCGGCTATGGCGGCTGAATTTGGCGCGCGCTGAAAGCGTCTATAGGGAATGTGAAAAGTCCCAGAATGGTATGGGGGATGTGCAATGTCCCAGGAGGGTATGGGGAACATGCAATGTCCGAGCAGGGTATCAGAAGCATGCAACATCAGAAAGGTGTAGAGAATATGCCATCTCCCAAAAGGGTATGGCATGTATACAATTACCCAGAAGGGTATGGGGAACATGCAATGTCCCAGCAGAATATCGAGGACATGCAATATCCCAGAAGGGTATGGAGAATTCGCAATGTCCCAGAATTGTAGGGGGATGTGCAATGCCCCAGAAGGATTTGGGGGATGCACAATTTCCCAGAAGGGTATGGGGAACATTCATTATCCCAGCACGGTATAGAGGTCATGCAATATCCCAGGAGGGTATAGGGGAATGTGCAATTTCCCAGAAAGGAATGGGGAACATGCAATGTCCCAAAAGGGTATGGGGAACATGCATTGTGCCAGAAGAGCATGGAGCACGCAGTGTTCCAGAAAGGTGTGGAGAATATGCAAGGTCTCAGAAGGGTGTGGGGAATGTGCGACGTCCCAGAAAGGTATGGGGGATGTGCAATGTCCCTGAAGGGCATGAGGGACATGACGGGCAATGTGGTGCAGACTACCCACGGGAGCCGTCCCTGGTGCTGATCCTCAAGTGGGGAGGGGAGCTGACGCCTGCGGGCAGGGTACAGGCCGAGGAGCTAGGCCGAGTCTTCAGATGTATGTACCCGGGTGGACAAGGTACGCTGGGCGGCTCAGTCCTGTCGGTACTGGCACACACTGGAGTGGGGCACTGGTCCCTGGGCACAGTGCTCTCTCCCCCTACCCCCCTCACCCCTCACACACACACATTCCCTTCCCCTGCACGAAGCTACACTCTACCGACACTGTGCCGTTTTTCAAAGGCACAGTGGTCTGAAATTTAGAGAGAATGGGTTGGACCGAAGGGAAAGCCTTCTATGTCCCAATTCATAGCCTCGTTTTTCAGTATGAAAGTTTAAAAATATAACTAAGCTTAAACTAAAAAAAAAAAAAGGGTCAATGCATCTTAGGTGAAAAATGCAGGAAAGCCTTGAGAAGAAGATCAAGATCTCTGCTAAGAGAATTTTCATACTTTCCAGACAATGAAGGAAATTATCTTCTATCGCTAAGGCCCTCTACCAGAGATCTCAGGATTTACAGTGAAACCCGTTTAGAACGAACCCACGTACAGCGAATTATTGTCGATATCGAACTCATGGAAAATTTGAATAAGGATGCATGTAAAAAGTACTTTTTATAACGAACAACATATTGCCTATATCGAACTTTTTTTTTCTGGAAAGGTCTCAAAAAACGCACAAACAATCGTCTTCTAGCCTGTCCCTTCCCCCAAAAACAGAAGTAGGAAAAAAAGAAAATTCCAAAAGCTCAAGTTGCGAACATAATTGAGCGAAGAGAAGCGATTCAGAAGGGAAGAAAGCTAAAAGCAAAATGCACTCTGCACGCGGCCACAGAAAAAAAAACGACTTTTAATCCCAATACGGTTGTCCACGAAGAGAAGCGATTCAAAAGGAGAGATAAGCTAAAAAACAAACTCTGCACGCATGCCAAAAAAAAAAAGTATTTTCAGCGAGGAGTTACAAGGCGGAAGCGAAGAGATGAGAAAGAAAGAGAAGCTCTCGGCCTTACAACGAACGCATCGTGGAAGTTCGTTGTAAATGTTTTTTGCTATATCGAACTACTTGCTATATGGAACTGATCGTAGCGTTTCCTGCTGTTCGTTATAAATGGGTTTGACTGTACTGTAGAAACGGTGGAGAAGATAAACCTTTATATAGAAGCTGGGCTCTTTCCAGAGCCTCAATTAAAGAGCTCTTCTTTCATCCTGCTAGCTGGTGATGAAGCATGCAAATGTTTGTTTTGTTTTGGTGCTGACTGCCATTTTGGCCTGCTTGTAGCCCTTAGCAGTAGGACCCATAGAAGCCCCTGTCCCACCCCTGTTGGTTTTCCCCTCGAAATGTGTGTGCCACTACTGCAAGATTAGCCTGCTTGCTTGCTTTTCAGTCTTTTGCTTTGTTGTTGTGTGACTCCTTTGTGGGTGTTTTGTACATGTCCTGGAGCCTGATCCACTTCTGGACTTGTTTTTATCTGGCAGCTTTTGTTTGTGGATGTTTTTGTTTCTAATGTTTTCTGTTTTATGTCATGCACATATAGCATTTTCTTTCTTTTTTCACAGCTTATGTTTTGCTTGCAATTGGCTCGTACTGCTTTGTTTATATCATTGCATGTACTTCCTATATGAGAGTGTTTAGAGACTTGCTTTGTTTTCTTAAAGGATTCATGAAGCCAAGCTATTCTACCTATTGCATATTAAAACTGTAAACGAGAAAACTAAATTTCAGTAACATTTTACAGTCTTTGCCTATTAACAACTGGTTATATGTAGTTGTTCGGCTAATAGTACTTGTGTGCCCTACGTAACACCAATGATGAATCTTCAAACAAGTTGCCTTCAGCATCTTGGAGCATGCATTCCTGAGCATTATATTATTCAGAAGTAATCAGGTATTTTTCTATAAAATCTTAACAATATGCTCCAATTCCTTACACAGTACCCACAGCCATACAATATCGAAAAGTCATTGACTTCATGAATGCTTTAGTCCAGTGTTTGTTCCAAAGCAAAGCCCAAGGGGCAGCACATGCTATAGTATATGTACATATTTTGTTTGCCTGCATGTTTTGAGCTTGCCTTTACTGCAAAAAGCAAACAGTTGTGTGAACATGGAAACCTTTTTGTTGCTGATATCTTAGTAGTGTCTACATCACTGGGTATTCACTACTAACAGTGTGTTGTTGTGATCTTTCAGTTGTTCCGGAAGCAGAGTTGCCCCAATTATGATTTTCGTCCCAAGGCATGCGCTCGCCTCGGTGTGCTTGTGGAAGGTCCTGAACCACTCTCAATTGTTTTATCCCCGTCGTAAGGTCTTGGACTGTCTCCCAGTACCATCTTCTTGCTTCAGAACATTTGACATCACTCATGATTGGCTTGCATTAATTTAATAATCAACCGAGGCACTTATTATCTGCTGTCTTAACCTCAACTATTGTAAATGTAGCTTATTAACTTATCTTTTTTCTTTTACTAAAACATAACTAGCAAAGACCGTCCTTTGAAGGAGGATAGAGCTACTGCCTGTCTAGTCTAGCATTTTAGATGACCTAGTGAGCATGTCTTCTACATGTAGAAGCATTTGCTCTGTAACCAACGTACAGCATGTGCTGCCACCTACTGGTATACTTTGATTGGCTTTGGTTTTGGCTCGAAGGACGGTCTTTGCGAACCGAACGTGCATTTACTCGAATTTTGAGAGTGGTTCTTGCCGGAGCAGTCTAGGGGGCTACATCCTGCTGTTATTATTTTATGATGCGCTGACCAACTCTAGGTGAATACGCTGGCACTCAAGGACTCGGACTGTTGCGGCTGCACAGCACTTTCCGCCACGACCTCAAGATCTACGCCTCGGACGAGGGCCGGGTACAGATGACGGCAGCGGCCTTTGCCAAGGTAAGCGCTCCCCGCCACCTGTTGTCTCCCGTGTCTTACCGTGTGCAAAGGTAGAACCACGGTCCTTGAATCGCCTGATCTGGAATCCTTTTGTCATTCTGTGAGAAAGCTTTGACACAGAATGTGTCTTACGAGTCTTTTTCTATGAGAAAATCGTTATGAACTAGCATCAGGAACGGGCATCATGAATGAATGACACACTTGGAGTGCTACACAATGCTAAGGTTATACATAAAGTTTGAGTCCCAGCGGGGTTCAAACCGGGATCAGTGTGGTAGCAGCGAGAAACCATAGCCACTGACCTACGTAGTGCAGCCACTCTTAAAGAACCCCTGAAAAGAAAAAAATCTTTTCTTTTAACAGTCTGGTTGGTACATGTGCGTCAAAAATAAATTACGCAAAAAAAAAGAAAAAAATTTAAAGCAATATTGATGGCGCGAGACGCGATTTAGTTGGCAGTCATCTCCTTTCCACTTGTTTTCTCTCTCTGCATTTCGGGCACTTGGAGGAGAGGTGGATCGGCTTTGCCTTTACGTTGAGTTGGAAAGAGCGAATAGCCGAGATGGTCATTCCAGAATGACCCGTGATGTCATAGACTTTGTGCATCGAATTTCAATTAAATCTCTCGCCATCAATATCGCTCTAAAAATATCGACTGTTTAAAAAAAAGTTTTTTTTTCTTTTCAGGGGCCCTTTAAGGACTGGGGCTCCCGGCAAAACGTGCAGGCGTGAGCAGCGCGACATCGTACCATGTGACCGCATACCTCATTGACGTCATGCATCGCGCAAAAGCCATACAAGGTAGCTCTCGTTCGCTTGGTTTCCCCCTGGCTAACATCTTGTGGTGCACAGTGAAAAAAAAATGCACAAGCCACACGCTGAGTGTGGTCTGTGCTAGTGTCCTGTGGGGCTCGCGGGACAGATTCTGTGCTCGCTGGTCTTTGTCAGCACGATCAAGCGAACGAGTTTCTTGGGGAAAAATCTAACCACCAGAAGTGCACTGCCGACGTCAAATGTGTCCACCATGGGGAAAGTCGCCGGATGTGTCTACTTCTATTTTTACGAAACCTTGTGGACTAGTCAAAATGATGGACAATAGGAAATGCCATCTATACTTGAGACCTATGGGTCCTGTTATTTTGGAATAATTGAAAGACCCCATGATACCTCTGCTTTAAAGAAATTATCACACTTCTTCAAGAAATATTTTTTTAGATTATTTTTATTTTTAGTTTACATAATTTAGCGCCGTTCGTAGTGACAAATTTTACTAGGGCGGAAACCATCGAAGTGTTTACACCAGTAAGTAGTTCATTTTATGACTGTGGGAGACTGATAACAGAAAGTCTGCTGCAATTTTTGTTTTTTCTCGTTTGAGGTACATATGATTTAGGGTGGTGATGCAGGATAGTTAGTTCATATTTAGTAAAATCAACACAGCACACAATGGACAAAGATAAAGTAAAGAAGTATACACAAAAAAAGTTTTTTTTTTGTTTGTTTGTTTTTTGTCAAGAGGAGCGGCCCAATGGTTGATTCAGACCTAAAAAGCTTTTAATTCAGAGCCCATAAATATTTTTGCATTGCCCTTGTCCCATAAATTAAAAGTTGAGCACCCTAAAGGTGTATTAGAACTTGCTGCGCATGTATACGTAGACTGCGTGACGCTGTTAGCCCGAACACCATTTCGGTACTTTTGTGAGCATCAAAATTTACCACCTAGATTTGTGCCCAAACGAAGCGCTTGCTTCCACTACAGTAGTTTGGATGGCAGTCCTTGAATTTGGAAAAAAAAACAACAGAGAAAAACCTGCACTGGCTCATTCATGCCAGCAGTATCGCATTGTGCATCCCTGTGCTCTCTGTAGCTAGACAGTGGGCAAGATTGACTTAACTTTCGGTTTGACAAATGATAGGCCTAGTTGACCAAAATTCAAGGTGAGTAATAGTGTTTGGCATTTTCCAAACTCTCCTGAGAAAACTTGGCAAAAGTTTGGCAGGTGCCTGCACGTGCGAGAACACAACTGTGATGTGTGTTGGATCATGGTTGGAGTCTGAAGTAGTGAGCGTACCAGTGCCTGAGCCCCTGCTGTGGTAATTTTTTATTGAAGCAGGAATAACGATTTGTACTGCATAGACAGGGTGTTTCAGCTAACTGGTGCCAAGACTTTCAGGGTTTAAAGAAAGTGTGGGAGGTTTGAAAGAATCCCACGTGATTAAGGGCACAAACGTCGCAGTTTGCTTGCAAATAGTCGCATACTAGTATATTTTTTTTTAAATCGCACACTCTTTTTAAAGTTAGAAAAAGATAAGTCACGCATATGACCTTGACAAAAATTACACAATGGGTTAACAGTAATAATCCCGGGAGAAGGGAACAAAGGGGACAATAGAGAAACACAAATCTCCAATCTCGGAGATTTGCTTTTGTCCTTTGATCCTCTCGTTCTTCTTCTCCAGAGATTATTATCGTTATTCATTATTCTTGTCCAGCTCGCTTGCACCTTTGCATTAATTGCATCATCAGAATAGGATATTTTTCAACATGCTCTAAAGCTTTTGTATTGGAGGGTTCGTGTGCACATTAATCTTTAAAAAGTTGGCTAATTAATTTGCATTAGTTAGCCAGTTTGGTACATCTCAAAAGGTATCTCAACTTGCTAAATAGAACGGCGAAGAGGTACAGTGTTGGTTTGACATGTGTAGAGTGTACTGGCTTTTTAGAGCCTTGGCACTAGTTAGCTGAACCACCCTGTGAATGGAAGATCAAGAGACTCATCTTCGTAGTTTTACCCATTGCACATGAATGACATGGCAGCAGCACACTGATAACAGCTCGTTTCAATTTTTACTCTCCAGGGTCTTCTGGCTTTGGAAGGAGAACTGACGCCAATTCTAGTCCAGATGGTGAAATCAGCAAACACTAATGGTTTATTGGATAATGATTGCGATTCCAGCAAATATCAGAATATGTAAGCACCACTGAATCTTATCCTTGCATTCTGTTCATTTGTATGCATGACTTTGTTCCCTGGTCTCCTTGCTACACAGAAATCACTAGTTAACAATTATTAAGGATGACAGAAATTAATAGAGCTGTTTATCTGCCATTGATGACAAAATAATATTTAAATTGTTTTATTTACTTATACCAGTTACTTGACCATCTTTTTGAAGCAAAAACCACTTTCTTATGAATTTTATTTAAAACTTGGGCATGTCGGACCCTGCCTTTGTGTTAATTGTTACAAATGTTTCTTGGATACTGTATCTAGGGTATGTAGATTTTTATTGGTCTTTGCAAGGTATTTATTGAACCTCTTGATCTCATTTTATTTATGAGTTAATTTAATTTTGTCACCCTCAAAACACATACCTAAATGAGCTGTCTCCAGTGTTGCATTTAACTTAACCAGCAGTTTTCTAGCATTTTGTAAAGAATCTGCTAATATTGTTTTTGCCCTTATTTATTTTGGCGAATATTTGTTTTTCCAGTAACCTCATGAGTTTAATATCACAGTCAGTGATTATCAGGAAAGAAAACAGCAGCAACAGGCCATATGCAAAATTCCCAAGCTCTAAGGATCACGCTGGAAGTGTGACATGCACTGCACACACTTGCCTTGTTTTTTGGAAATGTTAGAAACAAATTTCTAAAGCAATGACAAATGAATTTGTTAAAGAAATTATTTTTAGATTTTTTTCTTAACAAAGTTACTGCTGCTGATGCCAACACATGCAGTGTGTTGGATGCTCCTCAGTGCTTGGGTGACCATTGACAAAAAATGAAAGACGTTTCCAACTCTCTGTAACACTGAATCAGAGCAAAGCTCTTGAGGAAGAGGAGGAGGTAAGGGTATGGAGGGGGAGGGTATGCTCCTGCTCTTCTCCCATTTAGTAGGAAATTTTTGTTAAATTTGCCGCTAAATTTAGTGGGGAAATATTTCTGCTAAATTTAACAAAAAAAATTTTCAGCTAAAATTTTTTTTCCCATCAAATTTAGCGGGAAAATTTTCCTGATAAATTTAGTGGGCATTTCTTTCCGCTAAATTTAGCGGGGAAATTTTTTCGCTGAATTTAACGGACATTTTTTTTTTTTTTTTCTTTAAATTTAGCAGAGAAATTTTTACGCTAAATTTATTGAGTAATTTTTCTGCTAAATTTAGAGGGTAAATTTTTCTGCTAAATTTAGCAGGGAGTTTCTTCTGTTGAATTTAGCGGGGAATTCTTCCGCTAAATTTAGCTGGAAAATTTCCCCACCAAATTTAGTGGGTAAATAATCCCGCTAAATGTAAGTTCCATGTGACGTCACGAGAATAATATCACACGTGACATTGCTCGTGACGTCACACATGACGTCATGTGTGACGTCATTATGGGAACATCCAATAATGCAACGCGCAGTTACGGTGACGCCGACGCCGCTCAAGCCGGAAATGGGCACCTAAGAGCTGCACTCTAAAACTAAACTAATGCAAAGAAAATTTATCCTCATTTTGGAAAATGAAAGACACTCATTGCACAGGCACACCTACGAATCATATGTTTCGTTCTAGTGAGGATTGTGAAGCCATTTATGCCAAAAGGGAGCTGCTGTCCAATCTATTAAGGAACAGGTGTTTTATGAGAGGGAATCTTTTGGTTCAGATCAATTTGCATAGCAGTTCTTATTTGGTTCACGTAGGACAAAGGCCCAAAGAGACAAGAATAGTGTTACAATTCCTAAATGAGGAAACTCGTGCACAAATACCAATCTTGTACTTATTGTAGTACTGTGAGAAGCGATGACATAAACAGATTTTTATGTTTTCAGTTTTAGCCAAAAATTAAAATGGTCAAAGTATGCAGAATTCATTTTTCGAAATTTGATTTTAACTATGGCCAATATCTAGCGAGCTGATGGACATAACGAAAGGTGAGAGTGTGAAGTCTTGCAGTGGGCCAAAGCCAGTCTTAGCTGCTGCAGCACTTTACCTTGTCGGCCTATCATTTTGCGGGTATAAATATTCATAAGATGTTTTGGAAACTGAGGCTGCAAAAAGAAAAGACTGAGCATGCATTAATGACAAAAACTTGGGGAAATGCATGGATCCAAGTCTATTCAAATCAGATGACTTTAAACTTATTTCAATTTAATGCGAGGTTCCTTGGTATGTTGAGGCTGTGTTGAGCCTGACAATATTTATTACTTGTCTGTGCTTGTTTCTTCATTATTTTTCTATGTTGTCAAGTTATTTTGACAAGCAAACTATTTCTTGTATTTATTTTATTGTTACAGTGTATGTTCAATCACTTACTTGCTTTATTATTGTAAGCAGTGAGAGAGTGCAGGCGAGCTGGTAATCAATCAACATCTTGTAAACCCTGAGATGGGGAATAATAAAAAAACGGACGTCCGTTTTTTTTTTATCGTTCCCCATCTCAGGGTTTACAAGATGTCGATTGCTTTATTGTCACTTTTTCTATGGCAGTAGCATTTAACGGGACTGCCCTAAGTGCCACCATTTAATAACCAACCCAGTGCTCACAAAAAAAAAAAGAAATAAAAAAATGACCTTATTGTTGTGGGTTGAAAAGGGCACTGCACGTATCGCCAAAAAGGGCTGTCAAATAAAAACAAAAAAAGGTATGCGAAATTGAAAAGAAAAGAATGAAAATAGAAAACACCAAATTCTAAACATAAACAAGATCAAATTGGTTGTATTGATTAGATGACGAAAGACTAATTTTCCTTAAATTGCGAAAACTTGTGTCTGCTAGAGAATGGTAATTTGGCCATTGTAGCACGACCACTAACCCTGGTTATTTAAATGAATTATGCACTAGTTGTGGTTCACACTGAAGACAACAGATCATCTTGGCATTCATAGCAATGCAAGAATTGTTCATTAAACACGGTGCACAAAAAAATGCTGCACATTTAAAAAACAGGAAAACACTGTGCTGTGAAGAAAAAAAAAAATCAGTCAACGATGCTTTCAACACGTGTTTTCGCAAAACATTGTTTTTCCCTCCACTTTCAAGCATGAGGCAAATCAGGTCTTTTGAATAGCTCTTATGTCTATAGTACCAAGAGTTACAACTGACCTGACCACACACACAAAGACGATGAAATACCTTCCAATGTAGTTACTCCATTAAAAAAAAAAATTCACGAATATTGAGTGGGGCTAGTGCCACCGCCGCCACGTGTGGCATGGCACCGAGAGCTCCCCTCCCGGTGGCTCGCTTTTGCAGTGTGTATTTTCAGGTGATTTCGGGCTGCATCCCCTGACGTACTCGTACGTTCCTGGGCACTTGACAGCCCCGAGGCAAGCATGCTGTTGACAGTGTTCTTTAAACATTGAAAGTAATTACAGGGTGAAGCAAAGACTGCATGAAGCATTCCAGGTGGACCATGACTTCTCAGAAGAGGACTTTGAAAAGGTACCTTTTGCCACTACGCCTAACGCAGTCAAAGCATTTGTTGTGAAATGCCGAGCGTGCACCCATGTCGCACCAGGCGGCCGCCCCCTACTTTTTAAACATGCGAGAAATAAGCGAAGGACATAGTGCCAGGCGTTCACCCCAGCAGACTTCTCAGCCTGCCGAACCAGTGTTGCGGAATCGACACACCTATTCCATTCCAATTCCATTCCGGGAAATTAGAGCTTTCAACAATTTCATTTCTTTCGACTCATCCGAATTAAAACGCTGGGCCCATTCCCACTCCTGGAATGGCTAAACTTTACCATTCCATTCCTTTAATCCTTAAACATAAAAAGAATCGCAGTTGACAACCACAATGAGTTACTAGAAAAAAGCAGCATAAAGCTGCTGACGTTATCAAAACGTGGAGACGACTGCAAAACTATGCAAAAGCTTCCTCAAAACATTAATTTTACTAAGCCGAATGATGGTTGCACAAAGCGTTTCATGGCACTTGGTGTCACCGCAGACGTTGATCAAGTGTAAAAAGCTTGTGAGTTGCAACGGGTGGCAAAAACTAAAACCACCCATTTTCTTTGCAAGGGACCATACTATACCCTTAACAGATACATGGTTAGTGCTCTTTGTTTTGAGTACTTGGACAACAGTACCATATAGTGTACTGTTAGAGGCTTAAGAATACCGTATTTACTCACACAATGGACACACTTTTTTTTTTTTTTTTTTTAAATTGACATATCTGGGGGGTGTTCATTACGGGAGGTAAAATTTTTCTATTTACACACTTTGCACTAATGTTGTTTTAGGTTCCAGTATAACACGGCAGGGTACTGTGGCACGTCTCCACTGACGGAGGCGCACCCACGGCTGGTTGTGGGCACGCCACAGTAAACGTGCTCTATAAATTGCTAACCTTTTATAGGGCACTTTTGGCGTGCCCCTTGCCGAAGGAAAAGCGCCCTATGAAGCTTATCAGCACGGAGAGCAATGAGACCGTTTTTAGGCCTGACCACTTCCACGATTTTACTGTCCAAAAGCGGACCACAGACAGCGGCGTGTTTGTTGACATTAATGCATCGGATGGGCTAAGCATGTCTGCGGCTCGGCAATTCCTCTACCTTAGCTTCGTTAGGTGTACGCACCCCTCGGTTTTATGGTTGATCACTTCCGTAACTATGCTCTTGCAGTCATTACAGGAGTAGCTTGGCTTGGCTTGGCTTGACTTGGCCTGGCCGCTTGGCGGGAAAGGAAAATTGACTTGGTGGGCTGTGGGGCTAGCTAAGTTTGGCGCAGTTCGAGACTCGCAGAGCCGACAATTGGAGGTCATTACGTGAGGGAAAAAAAAGGTCAAAATATTGATGCCATTGTAGGGTGCGGTCATTATGCGAGCAAATGCAGCACATTAAAAACTTAGCAGGACAAAAATTTTGAAATTTGTTTGAATTAACCAAACGTATGAAATATCCTAGTTTGAATTATTGCGAGCCTACTGTGTGTGTTCTGTTAAGAAAAATCATTTTCACAAAGCCTATCACAGTGGTGTGTCTCATAGAACTTGGTTTCATTAAATCTAGAGTTCCTCAGGGCCAGCATACAGTGTAGACCGCATATAACGTATGTTGCGGGAGTCGCGAAAATCCGCACTATAAGCGGTACCGCGCTATAACCAAAGCATCAATTTTCAGGCCAAAATGCATGCCATCAGACAACTTACCTTTCTAAAAGAATTTATTTTATGTTAGATGAAAAATAAAGCTTAGTTTGAGGAAAATCTTTATTTCACCAGACTAGTACACTTCTCTCTCAAGTGTGTCACACATTTTGAAAGAAATGAGCAACTTTTGCTTGGCGCAGCCTCTTAACGGCGTCGCGGGTTGCGGACGGACGTCGCGAGCGTTCAGGATTGCTAACCCTAATCACTTTTCTCCGGCGATGAAAACGCGTGAAAATTCGCATCCTTTATACGGTACGCGCCAGTAATACCTTCAACTTGAGCACAGGCACGAAATGCTCCAAATAAGAAATCCGGGTGATGTTCGAAAACACAAATGCTTAGAAAGCACCACTGTAGTCGAAGTAAACAAACACGACGACACAGGCGTTTCTGCCATCTTGAGAGTGCCGCCACAACATCGCCGCACAAGTAGGTGGATCTTCCCTTCTAGTACGTGCTGGGTTATCATAGCAACACACAACGAAAATTCACAGTCAAGGATAGCGCTTTTACGCGGAACGATGAGCTTCTACCTCGCCGTCTACGTCGACGATCAAAACCGATGCCATGTTTGCGGATAGATCATAGAAGCAGCCGGCCGGCCGGCCCGCGACCGGCATGCAACGCGCGCGAACACTTTTCCTTGACCTGCGATTGGTCTGTCGTCGCGGTTGTTTCCAATGCAGTGGAGGGACGCACGCACGTGAACGACACGTGCGTGCGTCCCTCCGTCGCTATGGCAACTGAAGCGTCTCTCTTCGCTTCTCCCCGCTTCTTCGAGCAACCTCCTTGCCCAGTGAGTGCCGCTTGCGGCTCGGGCCGCTATCTAGTGTCGCACAGGGAAGCGTGCTCTCTGCGTCGGTCAGTCGGCACGGTCGCCGGGCTGTTCCGAAAACCGCACTATAACCGGTATTTCCCTTCGCGCGCCTGCATTTTAAGCGGTACGTAATTACATGGAGTTCTGTGGGAGGTGAACCGGTGGTTTAAAAAAGCCGCGTTATACCCGGTCCTGCACTATAAGCGGTTACGTTGTAAGTGGTCTATACTGTATTTAGTGTGCTGCATTGCACCAATGTTTGCATTCATACTGTGGTGTGACTCATTTGTGACAGCCGTACCGATTATAAACTGCCATTAAATCAAACACATATAGGAACAGTACCAAAAACCTAGTCAGACTTGTGTTTAAATTCTAGTCCGTTTATAAGAAACCCTTCAGCGTGACCCCCGTGAATGTGGCTATCATATTAAAACAGTGCACAAGCAGAGAGCAACAGAAAAGAAGAGAACACAGCACTCTGTGTTTTCCTCTCTTCTTTTCCTTTCTGCTTGTGCTCTGTTTTAATACATAGCTCAACTCTCCACATTAATACTGCTGAATATGACTATTTGTGTTTTCGTCAAAAGCGGTCGTAAAGCTATACTTTTCTTTATATTAAACAACTAGTGTAAGGAAGAAAGTGAACATATGCAGGCGAGCCAGTGAATTAACTCCATAACGAAAAGAGGAAAGATGCATCAAAATATGAGTAAGGACGAGCGTGGACCAGGGGGCAAAGAACTCATCCTTAAAATACTGACAATAGAATGCCAATGGGTTCTCTCCAAACTAAAAATTTTGTGAGAAATTAAATTAAGAAAGGAAAATAATTTAATGGTATACACATGTACCAACAAGAGCTTTCAAATTTCGTTCTTGGTGTGGCTCTTGATTTTTGGAAAGATAGTTCATTCCTTGCTTTTACTTCAGTTGCTCCTGACAGGCTAATGGCTCATAATCCTGCGGCATAAATCAACTTGCAACTCTATTTACGCAGGTTTTTGTACCACTTTGTAATATCAAGTAGCCACAAACCTGGGCAAACCAGGCAAACGTCCTGTTTGTCTTTTTGTCAACTGTGTATTTACTATATAGATGCCAACCCCTCCGACCTAACCGAAATTGTTAACTATGGCGAGACTTGCCTCACTCGGTAGCGATATGTAATATTGATGAGAGAAAAGTACACATTTTTTTCAAAACCGTTACCACGGTTGCCGGCTGTAGAAGGGTAGGGTAAATGATTTTTCCTACTAACAAACATGTTTTATATGTAAAAATGATGATGCCTGCAGGTGTACCATAAAGAAGGATTTTTAGATTAGGGAGTTAACATATAACAAACAGATATGATAAGCATTGAAGTTTGTTTTAACTTGTTCCACTACTTTTTTTTAATTTCTAGATTTCGGTTTCCTTTTTAAAATGTCTTGTCCTGACACAGACCACATTTCCGATAGTAGTTGTGTGGGAAACTCTGAGATGTTTACTGTACGCACGTGGTAGTACTAAATGCAAGTAGGTGGTAGTTTGTTCGTGCGGCTTATCTGGGACTCTGTTCTTTCCTTCTGTAGCTCAATCCCACCCATGCACGATCCATTCAGAATGCTTTGCAGTTCATCAAAAATCCCGTCAAGGCATGTCAGCACGTCTACGAGATCATACAGGAGCTCATCAAACTCATCAAGTGCAGAAAAGATGAGAACAGAACACAGGGTAAGCCTAGACTTTGTACGTAAGTAGGTTGAACGGGAAACGGGAGCTCTTGAACCTGAATAAAGCAGGCTGCTCCACTACCATAATTGTATTCCGAAAGATAGCCCACCTCACTTTCTTGTTGTTTAAAAATGCTAGAAGGTGAGTCCTTCACTAGAAAGGTTCAGCCTATTTCAGCAACCTGACTTTTGGCAACAATAACAGTTGTTTCTATGGCGTTTTGGTAGATAAGCAAACCTTTTGTCTCTATAACATGGAAGTTTGTGGTATAGGTTATTACAGTCGATGGATGCATGATTGAATGAGGATCAAAGTTTAACCATGTTTTTCTAGCTTTCTTGAGCCTGTTTGTTTTAATATGCCTACCAACAGCTACTAATAGGACACAGCGGAAAAGTAAAAAAACATAGTATTTTCGTAGTTTAAACCCTGCCAGTATACTCTTTCTTGAAATGTTATTTTCTTGTAATCTCTTTAAATTCCTGTAATAAAAATGTCTTTAAAAAATGTGGCACCCCACTTGGCATGAAAGCCTGGTGCACGCTCTTTTCATGTACAATAGAAACCATGCCACCTTGATGTGGGTGTCAACTCTCTCCTTTTTGCATGCGCAATGGAAAGGCGGTCACTCGCTCTCAGGTTACCCCAGCTGGGTCTTTTACAAATATTTGCTCAGAGATCTTGTAAGTGCAAACAGGCATGACACGAAAAAGGGTTTAGAAGAAGCTTGGTTAGGTCTTTGTCCTAGTCTTTTTTGCGACGTCGCTGCTATTATCAAGAAGGGGACACAGACGAGCCCTACTTCCAACTAAATTGTGGCCAGATGCCAGCATACCATAATATCCGACATATCCTCTATGTGTGTGACTCTGTTTCCGCCTACAAACTTCCTCAACGCCGTGCGCCAACTAGCCCAGCAGCAAGTATCATTGATCCAGATCAATGGTAAGCCTTTGGTAGTGTTGAGTCTGCCACCAACGAGCCCAACAACGAGTCTCGTTAATCCAGATCTTTAGTCGACCTTCTCTTTCCTTCCTGTTATCTTTTCCCTCTTTACATTATTTGCACTGTTTAAGTCAATATGTCTGACCGATTCGCCCAGCAACTCATTTTGGTCTGCCACTAAGCCTGTGCAGCTGACCAAACAGCTGAAGGGGCGAGTCTCCGTTCCTCTTGCAGGGCCCCTGTACCACGGAGAGACGTGGGAGCTGATGCAGCGCCGCTGGGCCAAGCTGGAGAAGGACTTCAAGCTGAAGAATGGCAAGTTTGACATCAGCAAGATCCCCGACGTGTACGACTGCATCAAGTACGACCTGCAGCACAACCAGCACACCCTGCAGTTTGGGCACGCCGAGGAGCTCTACCTTTATGCCAAGGCTCTGGCGGACGTTGTCATTCCTCAGGTGAGTGCCCGCACCTTCTGCACAGTGTGCTGTAGAAATAAGGAAAATGTCTTGTTCCCATTCTAAATCTTGATTACTCTCACACTCTTAGTATCTATTTCTGAGCGAAAGCTGCATTCTTTTTTTCGTCTGTGACTCAGTTTGTAACCGATGAAACAGGTGGCATGCACCTGTTATATACCTAATGTTTTAATCGTGCTTACGGGGGTAATGCATAATCCATAATATGAGATATCAATGTGGTATTATAGATTAGCTTCTGAATGCTAACTACGGTCACCGAGAATCTCATCCTGTTTATGTATGCATATATTTATATAAGTATTCTGTAAAATCCCCTATGGACACCCTCCCCCGAGAGATTGCCCATTCCGTTTCCCTAGCTAAATATCTGTAGTAGCATTAAATTCAGAAACATTGCCAACCCTTCGATTCCCGTCAGGTGTCGCGTGATTTCCGATGGGAATCGCATCAAATGAGCAATTTGCAGTACCGGTACTTGTGATGAATTAGTTTGCAGCGGGTTCCCGCACTTTTGTCCACTATCTGCATGTGCAATATCGGTTCCCGTGAGACGCAAGTTTGTAGCAGGTTTCTGCGTGTTTATAATAATAATAATAATAATAATATTTTTATTTCCATCACACACGATGGAAATAAAAATATTATTAATATTAATATTATAAAAATATTATACTGGTAGGTTCGCGTTTCACACCGTGAAACGCGAACCTATCGGATCCACAATCTGCGTAACCCTTTCCCGTGACACAGTAGTTCGTAATGAATTCCCGCATGTTTATCACATCATAGAACTCAAATTTGCCATGTCCGTGATCTGTGGTGTCAGTTCCCATGTCACGTGGTTTGTAACGGATATTCTTGTGTTTATCTTTTCTTTTTTTTATAAATTTTTGCTGTCTCATCTTTAATTATAGCCTGCCTCATGGTTTTCTTCATTTATCTCTTCATTTTCAACAACAAAAGTCGTCGGTTGGTCACTACTCCCCTTGGTTGTTGACGTCCGCGTGGAGTAGACGGTTGGATGAGAAGTCAATTGGTTTTAAATGCTATAGAAGACTTCTTGGATGTTGACGAAAACTATTCCTAGAATTTCCGTAGCAGTTCCTAACCAGTTTAATAAGGAAACGTTTATGCAGTATGGCAGAAAATGCTGTTGCATTTCAACAACAATCTGTACAGTGGTTTTGGCAACAATTTGTTTATTCTTATTCTAAGTACTATGTACTCTCGCTTCGTTATGTTTATTTTCTGGACGCCACAAAATTAGAGTGCAAACACACAAATTCTTCTTTATATGTACCGAGTATAGATACCGATACCCATTTGCAGATCGGAAAAGGCCTTTTGCACGCATTTTGCATTGCTGCTTCTTTGTAAAACCGTAGTGGCCTTTGGTGCTAGTTCGAATTAACCAGTGCACGCCTCCAAACTGCCTCTGTAGTCAGAGGTGTTGGCAGGTCTCCATTTCAGTAGTTTTAGTTTCTTCTTGCACATTTGATTCAATGAGGGAAGCATTTATTGACGAATGTCTTTCAGATTTTAACGAACTAAAATTGGAAAGGGCGGAACAGTTGTCGCAGGCACTTATCTTTTTGTGGGGGTGCTGGGGCTATTGCAGGAGTACGGCCTGACCCTCCAAGAGAAGCTGACCATTGGACTGGGCATCTGCACTCCTTTGCTGAAGAAAATCAGAGCAGATCTGCATCGAAACATTGACCCCGCAGCAGACGAGACTGAAAGCGTAAATCGACTTAACCCCCAGTAAGATAACTTCCCCGGTTCATTTCCGGACGTTCGATGCATCGGCGCCATCCCCCTTTGCAGGTACTCGCACGGTGTGTCATCCCCTGGCCGCCATGTCCGCACTCGGCTCTACTTCACTAGCGAAAGCCACATTCACTCTCTGCTCACAGTGCTGAGATACGGAGGGCTGCTCGACGTAAGTTTGCCGACTTCTCTTCGTTCCCGGGTGACCCCGAAGATGTTTGGAAAGGGTGTGTCCAAGAGTCAAGAAATTCTGGGATCGCTTGTCTAACGGCATTTCCTATGTGCTATTTTTCAGAATGTATATTTAAAAGTATTTTTTGCCAAGAGAGTGAGAAACATTGAAAGAAATTTTAATAGCAACAGGATTAGATGCAGGCGTTTGTGGAAGAGACTTCCTTTTTTCTAGAATGTGAACATTACAGTTGTGCAAAGATCTTCCATCTTCTGTGTGCTCTGGATTCTTGTATATAATGTTTCCACTTATTTGCTGGCTTCTTTCTTTTTTCAATTTTTTTTTGTCTTTTTTTTTTTTTTTTTGTTCAAACCATGAATTGTAGCGTTGAAGTTTATTTAGAAATTTGGTCATGCTGTCTAAGGATTGTGGCACATTGCTAAAAGTTTCTTATTGCCTTATTGCTTGCGGTTATTTAACTTTCTTGGAGCTTCTATTATGTGAGTTAGCAGCTCTCCTGTACTTGAGACATTTAATTTTTGCTTCCCACCTGGTGCTATAACTGTTTGCAGTTAAGCAACCCTGACTACGTAGGCAAAACTTGTTGGAGAAATGGGTGCCCATTGTCTAAAAACATTGAAGACACGGGAAGCTAATCAATTTGAGTAAACTACTATATAATTTGTGTCTGTAAAGGCATGACCAGCACCACTGTATCTAGTATTGGATTAAGGAAGAAGCCATACGTTTTTAAGTTAAATAAGCACTGAAGTCTGCAACATCACATGGTATACCCATAATTGTGTAGGGCCGTTATTCGTGTATTCACGTATGTCTTTACTTGTATATTTTCAACCGTAGTTGCCGTAGTGTCCGTGTTTTGTTTATTTTATCAAATGTATTTTTATGCTTTGTACACTCCTGTAACAGCCTTAACAGTTTAACAGTATGCATAAATAAATTTTTAAAAAAGCTTTTGTTAAAGTTTTGCTCTATAAAAAGAAGTTACATGCCGTAAAATATTGGAGAACCACTCCACCCCACTTCCTCTGAAAACTGAATTAATCTAGACATCGGTGCTCGTCCAGTCAAATCAGGCACTTAACGTATAATTCTCAGAATTCCCAAGTTTAAAAATTGTTAATAGTGGGTCTTGAACAAAGTGTGCGTTTCAGCAGTATTTTACTGCATTTACTACCATAGGTAGTTTCTTGTTTCTGCATCAATAATCGGTCTTTAATGACTTATCAAGCAGGTTCATAGCTGTTTATGCCTTGTCTCGTTTATTTTTTGCTTGTGTTTGCAGGAGACAAAGGACGAACAGTGGCGCAGAGCCATGGAGTATATCAATGCAGTCACGGAACTCAATTACATGACACAGATTGTGATCATGTTGTACGAAGACCCCACCAAGGTGATAGATGTGCGCGCTCACTTTCCTTTCCCTCTTTCCCTCACTAATTTTGAGGTTGTAGTCCAGAAGTGATTGGCTGCATGCTTGGGGCTACATTTAGGGTTCTAATCTGAATACGAGATTCCCTTACAGCACCTTGCAGAGTAAATGTGTCTTTTTAGTCTGAATATAGAATTAAAATTTAAATATCATGTCAGCCTAGGGATCCTCAGGTGACGGGTTCGAATCCCGGCCAAGGTGCCCGCAATCTGACAGAGGCTCATTGCGGAGAAGGCGCCGTGTAACCGAGATTTCGGTTACATGTAGGGAGATCTCCATCGAAATTGGTTTTCCGTCCTTGGCTGTGGCGTGCCAGGTGCCCTTTATTGGTTTCTTGCTAGTTTACAGTGCGACTCACCTATAATTGCCCTGCTTTAAATTTTTTTTATAACAATCTCGTAGAATCCAATTGTTAAACTTTCATGGAGGCTTGTCACACTTAACTGTCCACCCACCGTAACTGTCTACTTATACAGCAAACAGTTGTATTAAAGATGAGAATGTGTTACGTGAACTTTAGTCTGGTAGGGCTGTGCAAAAATGGAGGATTTTCTAAAGCTTGCTTTGAGTGATCTGAAGTATGGTATTTCTTTAAATTATTGAGGTGACATTTAAACGGTTCGAATCATTGGAAAGTCGTAGTCACATGCATGTTTGTTGTGTTTATGAGGGTCAAAGAGGAGCAACTTTGTTGCTGTTGCAGTTCTAAAACAATGGCACAATACTTTGTTTCAACTGTGAGTAGTGAACTACTTCTATTATAAAAAACATACATTGTCCAACTTTGTTAAAAATTTTGCATAAATGTAAATATGCAGATGATATGATAACTAATATTATTGTTATGTTTCAATCTTTGCAGGCTATTTTATAATTGGTTAATTTCTCTAGTACCGTTCCCCTTTGAGCTTGCTTATATGGAATTTCTTTTAACTCCCTGTAAGTAACTGCCAGGAGAGCTTGCAACTCCGTTTGTGCAAATGACCATAGGGAATTCGCTAGCATATTCCAGGAATGAGTTTGTCATTCCTCCACTAATATATTGCACGACTCTGTTTCACAAAAAACTCTATAGAGTTTTGCCAGTTTTCCAAATGAGTGCTTTAATTACGTTGAAGTACACACAATACTTCATACATATGAAGTCATTAAGCTAGCTTAGAAAAAAAAAAAAAAAAAAAAGTAAAAGAGACAGCGGTATATATATTTGTTTATTATGTGTACCGTAGTCACTGACAGAATGAGGACGGCAGGGCATGTCTTTAAATAGACGCTGACACCCCCTAAAAAAACGTTTGTATTTTTTGCCGGGCGATTTAATATGGTGTCACAAGACTGCCCAATCAATATTTTGCTACAGTGACATAATTTTTGATAAATTTAAAAATCGCAACTGCTCCAGACCGAAATGTGGACTGGGGAGGAGGGCAGAACCCCACGACGTTGATTATATTACTTATGCGTGTCTGAACAACGCGCGACCACGGTGAAGGGAGTGAGTGCGACTCGAACCGGCCAGTACTCAATCAACAATTTTCAGGAGGAAAAAAAAAAAAAAAAATTTGAGCCACAAAACGTGTTTTGGGTAGCCGGGCTGTCATATGTCACATACAAATTAAAACATTGGCAAGCATAGATACCCTGTCGGCGTCCCTTTAAAATGCCCACGCCTTCAGCATCCGCTCGTTGCTTTCCATTATGCTTTGGCCGCACGCGCGCAAGCTCAAGGAGCAAGGAACGCCGAAACTCCTCCACGCCGTCCTCCCCTCTTCGACGACTCTAATTGTCACGGATGCAACTCAGCGAGAATGAAGGGTTCATGGCACTTCGGAAATGCTCGCGGGTCGGTGTCGAAGATCGAGTTCCCCCTGTTGGCATGCAGGACCAGTTTTCGGAGGAGCGCTTCCACGTGGAACTTCACTTCAGCCCCGGCGTCGTCTGCTGCGTCCAGAAAAACCTGCCCCCTGGCCCCGGGTTTCGTCCCCAGAGCCGCAGCGGACCTGTGAGTTCACCTTGCCTCGCCGTCTTCCCTTCTCGTCGGTCGGTCAGACCGACAAGAGTGCGTCGTCTTTAAACTATGGGCCGTCGTGGGCTAAGGAGAGCTGGACAAGCCCCTCCCAGAACTCTGTCTGCTCGCCGGGATTGGCCGTTTCCTTCTCTCCGCTTACCTCTTCTCTGGCACTCGCCCTCTTGAAGGGGAAGGAGCGGAGAACACTGTGGGAGGAGCCTGCCCTGCGTTTCTTAAAGGAGCTGTGCAACAATTTCAGGGCTTTGCTTAAATTATTGTGGAAGTTGCTGCCTGATACAGTACTTCTGAAGTGAACTACAGAAAACAGATTTTGCCTGGATACCCTAGTTTTTATTTAAAAAAAACAAAGAAGATCCAGGTTTTTGTCGCCTCTCAACTCGTATGTCGTCTTCCGGGTCACGTGCGCAGTGACGTTGCTGGGGTAGGCGCGGGGATCCGGAAAAGTTCTTTCTTTAGAGCCATCAGCGAGCAGCGAGAACTCATCCGCTTGCGACCGCGTGACCACGTGCTGGCAGGCGCCGCGCGAACAATACGGTAAAAAGAGGAAAGTCTCATCTGGGTTCGGCCATACCCGTCCTTGCCCGTCCGGCGCTGTCCCCCTCCCCTCCGGCTTCTGGCGGCTGTTCGCGGTTTTGTGGACCTAGGATAGATGGCGCCACTGAAACTCCGTATAATAAAAGTTTGGTCGATGATACCAGGGTTTTGACGCATTTATATATATGTTGGAACGACAAGATTTATAGAAAAGTTACCTTTTATCGAGCAGGTATTCGCACAACTTGCTATCTTTTTACAAGATTCCCCTTTGACGTCACGCCGCGTGTTTCTCATGGCTTTCGCGGCTGCAGGTCGGGGAATATTCTAAATTTTGCCTTGCTATTACGCGGCGGAATCGCAACATTTCGATGAAAGGAGGTGTGTTTTCTGTCATTTGTGACAAGGTGAACAATATCAAAAGCAGAAGATGCCAATTCTTTCAATGTTCAAATCGTTGCACAGCTCCTTTAAGTCACAACAGACTGTGGCCTCTAATTTTTCCAGCTGCCACTGCAGTGGCCATCAGATTTAGGAAGGGGGCAGATTCAATCTGCCCGCTCAAGGGTATGCACGTTTGCATGTTTAATCATTGCGGAAGATTTTGCAAGCTACACTTGTGACCTGAAAAAGGAAATTGTGTGCATAGTTTATACGCCGCACAAAGTAGTTCTTAGGTCCGCTTCGGACAGGGCGGTTTTTCCCAGCGTTGGGACATTGCAGCTTCATTAGCACCATCCTCGCACGCTCACCCGCAGCTACTGCTGAATCTCAGTTTGCTAAATTTTGTCACCGTCGGAGCTAAAATTGTGGCTTTCTTTCAGTATTTAAGCTTAAATTTATGGGTTAATAACATGTTTTTACGTCTTTAGGTGGTGTCAAGAGTACAATCTGACCTCCCTGAAGCCATGTAGTAGTTGCAAAAATTATCCGTTTCAAACCAGAATAAGTCAGTGAATCTATTGTTCGGCCATCATCATCATCACCACCACAGGATAGGTCACGTGAAAATACCCCATCCTCAGTTGGCTGCTGCTGCTTCCCCAGATGAAGGGGGAACTTAGTAGCACTGAAAGAAACCAAACTTTTTTTTTTTACTATGGCTATTGAGGTGAAAAGGAATATGGACGTCCAAAGCTATACGATTCTCGGAGGTTTAGAATGCGAGTGTAGACAGAGACGAACACAAACAACACCGACCTTATGTATAGGTGCTTACGTTTTAAACCTCCAGAAAATGTTTAACCAATGCCCTCTTCTGCTTCTTGCGTCGGGTATTAATGCCTGTTCCAGTGCTTTAAGTAGTAGCTTACGACGACTGCAAAGACTAAACTGGGGTAGTGGAAAACCTAGGTGGCTGTAGAGGAAATGTTCAACGATGCCGCACGTGTTCTTGTGCGCAGAGGGAGAGACAATCTGAGAAGGGCTTGCATGGGACGGCTTGCCTCGATTCAGCAGAGAAACCAAGCTGTATCGAAGAAGAGGAAGACGAACTCACATTTGATGATGAGGCCAAGTGCGACGAGGTTTGGTCTGACCATGTGAGTGATGTACATAATAGTAATGATAATAATAATAGTAATGAAGATCTTTATTGACTCAGGAGAGCTGAAACGGTCCATCATTATCATTTCCTCCTACAGAGAATTAGTTTGCCCACCATGTTGGTGCTTGTTTTGCTTTCATCATAGTGACAAACATATTCTTTACTGATTCCCACCTAGTACTTCTTTCTTCTTGAATCATCAGTCATACAGGCATTGTGCAGCATACATTGTTGCCACTCGCTATTTTGATTTCAGACTGTCGGAGTCTGGTACATACGTTATGGTTCTTTGAACGCAAGGGCTTGCCAGTCTCGCATTTTAAAGCCATCTTTCCGTATTGTTTTCTAAACTTGGATTTTTCAAAACCAAGTTCATTTTTAGCTATGCAGGATAGGATAACTCATGAGGGAAATCCGTAGGCTCGTGGAACTATGGTACCACATCGTTGCTTTACAACCTTTTTGTGTTCAGAAAGGATGCAAAAACTGCTCCAGACTGGGGCATAGGCTAATGTGGCCAGCGGTGTGCCAGAATTGCATGCTGCAGCATATGCTACCTGCAGTTCAAATTAATCTTTAGCCCTTTGCTGGGGTGTGCCAGATGCCTGTCGTAGGTTCGGCCCGTAAGCCCTCTGAAAGTTCACTGCATGCGTCCTTACCAGATGACAAGCTCTTGATGCTTGCTTTTATATCATGTTTATTGTAAATGGGCCACAATTTTCGATATTATCATAGACACACAGAAATTTCAACTGGAACTTAAGTTAATATACTTCTATTTATCGCATTATCAATATATCAAACTATTTTACTATCCCCTCTGAATTCGGTATATCCGGGTTCAACTGTAGTACAGTAAACTTTCGTTAGTTTGATCTCGGTTAATTCGACTTTTCGTTTAATTCAATCGTGTTCAAAAGTCCCGGCGAGCGCCCATACATTTCTATGGGAGGAAAAGTTCAATGGTTCAAACTCAGGAAAACTGTGCATCGGATAACTCGTCCTGAGCGAACGTGTGCGGGCTCGCATTGCCACGGCACCACAATAGAAAAACCACCGACGTACGGCGAAACACGGGCCCTTTGCTGCAAAGCCGAACGTGCGCAAGTATGTGCCTGCTCCTGTACGCCGTTGAGATAGACCGTAGCGAATTACACGAGCCAGCGCAACCAATCTGGCGTGGAGTAGCACGGAGAACATAGCACGTGGTCAAGCGCGGAGACAGCGCGTGCGTGCTTTCTCAAAGCACTTTTTTGTAGCACTGTGTGCAGTCCATGTTGCGCGTTGGATAGTGCAAGTTCTCTTTTCCTTTTTTTTTTCTTTGTTATTTTTTTCTGTTCCCAACGGTCTGGCCACTTGGCGCCAAAGTTGACTCGTAAAACATTCTCAGCGCACGCTCTCGGAGCGCTTCTGTAGCATCGTGTGCGGTCCATCTTGCGCTTCGGAAAGTGCGGGTTCTCTTTTCCTTTTTTTTGTGTTATTTTTCTTTGTCGCCTATGGTCTGGCTGCTAGGCACCAAAATCAATGTGTAAAACTTTTTTTTTTATTGCGCAATTTTTTTTTTGTGGTGAGGTTTAGTTACGTTATTCTCTGGAGCATGCTTTTGGACACGCGTTTCAAGCGCAGATGACAACAGACCGTTCGTGGAGTACTTTGGACAATAAAACAAAGTTTAATTTTGACCGTTTTTTTTGTCTTTTTTTTAATTCGATCATTTATATAATTCAACCAAATTTCAAGATCCCGTCGAGGTCGAATTAACGAAAGTTTACTGTATCCTGTCTAGGAGTTCATGAATGTAATGCTCCTCCATTCAGCCTCCTAGGAAGTAATTTGTTCTTAAACTGGAATTTGTGCAGGATTCACCGACAATACTCGAAGAAAGCGATACAAATGCAGATGGCGTGTCATCGAAAAACGATGCTTCCAAGGCAACGAATACTGCTCCCACATCGTCGCAACCCATTCCTATAGGAAAGGTATTAATAACCGCTCCTGCAGAAGGTAAATATTCCAGGTTTTGTTTTGGCCTATTTTTGTTTCTCAAACTTGTTGAATTTGTTTGATTTAGCTATTGACTCATTTTGCGTGCCTTAATAGGATTCATTTCAGTTTTTTTTTTAATATCTCATTCTGGTCCCGGTGGGCAGACAGTTTGTACCTCATTTACTCGCAAATGCCGCCAGGTATGTGGCAAACTGTAGGTTTATATTTTGTTGTAGAGCACGCTAATGCTGCCGCCGTCCGACCCGATGCCGCCGCCACCGAAACTGTTCCCGCAAAAGGTAAAGGGGGCCTGGTCTGGTCACGCTGAGACCATCGACAAAACCGCTAGGAGGCTACCGACTTGGATTTGTTGACTTTGATCTTTTCCAGTACACTTAGACCACGGAGGAAGGAAAGAGGAGTGTCTGAACAAGGCCAATCAAGGCAGCAAAAGTTTGTTCGGCCTGTTCAGTTTAGATGCCTTTGAAGAGGCACGTGTGCCTCTTTGAAGGCTTTACATACGTTTACAAGCTTCGAAGGCTTTGAAGGCTTGTAAATGTGTGCACGAATGAGAATGGTTCCTCGAGTAGCTCTCGTCGGCCCCCTGATGCCCATTAAGATATGCCATCTGACGGCGTTTGCCAGAAAGGCAAGCAAACCTTTGCCACACTTGCTCCATGGCGAGGCACTGCCATTCAGACATTTCTCTCTTCTTCCACCTTGACTTAGACTGCATATTTTAGAACAATAAAAATACTCATGTAAGGTGCATAACCCACAGTTCTACTAATAGAAATTGCTTTGCTCATCTGTGCAAAGATGTGTGTGTTCCCATTCAGAGAAGGCTGTTACAAGTTACCATCGTAGTGCTCTAAGAGGTGGGTCACCCAAAAAATGTTTACAATTCAGTTTAAACAGCAGTTCAGTTGGTGTAAGACTCAAGTTTTTTTCTCAGCTGATCGCAGAAGTTTGTCCAGGATTACATTAGTGCTCTGCCACTTGTCAACATATTCATTAAGAATATCCATCGACTGTACCACTGACATCTATTTTTGTCTTATTGAAATTGTGGCAACAGCAGAATTTAAGCAGTATATTCTTGGATAAAAATGTTTGAGAACATTCCTACATCATTTTTTTTTCTTTTTTTATTGTCTTTGCTTTTGGTGGATGTATGGATATTTTTGAAGGAAGAAAACAAAAGATTGACTGCAAGAATAGCTCTAGTCTGTGGGGCTTTTACAGTAACATGCCATGTATGATGTTTGCTTTTGACCCTTCTACAGGTATGAAATGTGAATAGGGAGGTCCGTCAAAAGTCACATGTGGCAAAACTTGCTGTACTATCACATTATTATTATGTCCTTACTATAGGTTATGCTTGGCATTTACTGCATGCGGCACTCAATACCGAAACAAGATTAGTGTAGTTAATGCTCATTCTATGCTATTAATTTTTCCCATTACTAAGCATTTGAATAGTGTTTTGAGAAAAGAACTTTACCTTTGGTCAATGCACATTTAAAGTACTTATAACAAACCTGTAGCCCAAACACTGTGCAGCCACATTCAGCCTTGGTTCGTGTTTTAAATGTCTCATGTATGTGCCAGCCAGATGAAAACTAACCGGCTGCAACTTTTGCCTGGGCGTCCGTACCCAGGCCTGTATTCTGACTCCCCCTTTGTGAAAGCCGTTGCTCTCCCTCACACTCATTGAAAACTGTGAAGGAGATTTTTTTTTTTTTTAGGGTATCGCTTGTGAATTGTTGGCTTTCATTCGCTGACATGTGTTGTCTGTGCCCCTCACCTAGCACCAGAAGTGGAGCGCCTCAAACCGTACCCGATTGTTCGGTGCAACTCTGATAGCCAGCGCCCAAGAAGTCTCGAAAGTGACACAGCAGAGCCTCCGAAGATTGACAAAGGTAGCCTGACTCCTGCTGTTGTAGTGTGTATGATTTTTATGTGTGCACTTCACACCTTCCATTTGGTCATGTGCCCGCTAATTGTATGAACCCTCTTACCTTGTGTGTCCCAATGACTGAGGGCGAGAATGGTAACATACCTAATATTGTCCTCTGTACAATGCTGTCATTGGTAATTTTATGTACCTAACATAGCTGAAAAGGCTGAAGTATGCATCTCAGTGGTACGATAGCCCCATCTAACTTGAAACTTGGTCGAGTGAAGTAATTTGGTTGTAGCATTGTTGTGTTGTGCAAAACTAGTAAAGTTAGTCATAATTTAAAAAAGTGTTTGTGCCTCTGCTAGAGCCACTGGTGACCGCTGAGGAATCGTCCACAACATGCCGCCCAAGCTTACGTAATTATACTGTCACCGTCTTTTTATGTATACTACCATCAGCTTCGTTTGATGTGGTTCCTGAGATTGGTCATCTAATTTGAGATTACTTTCTGCACAAAGGAGTGAGACGTTTAAGAAAGCACATGTTGTGCAGTGGTGTCGGCCCGTGTTTTGTTCCACCTTTGGCAGTTAAAGTACAGGGTTCACCAAACTGTATGACACTTGCAAACTTTCTCTTCTCACAGTGCAGGAGCGTTGTCCTGGTGGCAGCCAAAGAATGGCTTTGTTATGTAGAACTCAACAGAACAGCAGCCCATAACACTACATCACGGAGCCATTGTTTAGCCACCGCCAGGATAGCACTCCGAGATAAAACTCAGTTTGCATGTTCTATTGAGTGTGAACACTGTACATACTGTTGTATCATGGCTTGATAAGGCATATATCTAGGACGTGTCAATACAGTCGAAGCTCATTATTACAGATCTGGTTACAACATACATTTGGATATAACTAGGGTTCGGAGTTTTCGGTTTAAACCGATAAAAACCGATAAAAGTACGCCGAATTCATTTTCGAAATTCGGTTTTAACCGGAAAAGGTCAGTTTTTAGGTTCGGCAGTTTCGATTTAAACCGATAAAAACCGATAAAATTTCTTCGAATCCATTTTTTGAAATTCAGTTTTAACCGGAAAAGGTCACTTTGACCGTCCAGTCGTACCGCAGAGCCGTGGCGAGCGTGTTTTCAAACTCGTTGTGAGGAAGACTGACTGGATGCAAGCTCTGCATGTTGTGTTGTGCTTCAAAACGTCGCACCGTGTCTCTTTCGGCGATTTAGGCTCAGGCAGCGCGTCATCTCCTCAACCTGCCAGCGTCCAGTGTTAGCGTTGAGAGGGCGTTCTCGAAGCTCAGGGTCATATATTAACAGGAAAGAAATAGTGTGGATCAGGAAGGAGAACCTGGGAAAGTACATGTTTGTGTGTACTATAATGAGATAACGTATTCCTGATGTACAGAAGGTGAGGTGCCATGTTTTGGGGGCATAGGCTTCATATCTTTTTTTTTTTTGTTTTATTAATTTGGGAAAATGCAAGAGGTTAGCCAGAAAATGCGTTCGGGCTGGCTACTCAGCATGTTTGTTTCTTTTTCTTGTTTCTTTTACAGTTGCACACATTTGCCAAATGAAGTGTCCATTTCTTTTTCAATGTATCTGTGCCGTTATTCTTTAAGTGATCACAAATATCAGAGCTACGTACATGGATCATCTGATCCGGTGTCCGTTGGTGTTTATTTTATATTCACCGAAAAAAGCCGATAAATTTTTGCGGGCATAAATATACACCGAAAAAAACCGAAAATTGAATTTTAAAATAAACACCGAAAAAAGTACGCCGAATTTTGAAAAAATAGAAACCGAAAACGCAGAACCCTAGATATAACATACCGATTTGTGAAGTTTGGTTGGTTTTCCTCTACATACTATTATTGACTGAACTTCATATCTGCATACAACATACTCCTCTTAAAACAGACCGAAATCTTGGTCAAAATCAAGGTCTGTTCTATCGAGCTTAGACTGTATCGGACCAGTACAGACGTTACTAACATGCTTTTTGTTACCTTCGCCTGCGTCACGCATTAGTCATCATTGCAGTCGAAGTATGCCTGTCGCGAGTTCAGCATTTTTTTTTTTTTTTTCGTTTAGTCGTAATTTATTTTTACCGACCTGTTAAGGGGTCTTTTTAAAAGCTTGAAAATTACTGTAATAGGTAGTATGTGCTGTGCTCCTTAATCTTAACACCGCCATGAGATGGTTCATTTTGGGCCCTTTTCGTGCTATTCCCAAACCTACCAGTCGAACCATGTGGCGAAGTTTTGACACCCCGATCGCAGCTCAACCAGGTGAAGACATTTCAGCTACAGCAGCGACCAATTTAGTTTTGAGCAGCCGGCAAGGGGTCAACATTGGGATAACCAAGGGTAGTGTTAATTTTGAGGAGCACTGTACACTTTCAGCTGTTTAGGCCAGAGGAAAGTTAGTGGAACTAGGCAAAGGGCTGTGCGATCAGCATTGTAAACTTCGAATGCCGATAGCAAGGAAGTAAAAGCCTGCCATCTGATTAGGAGGTGGCAGCTGGTGCAGAAAGGTTCTGATGGTAAGAGTATGAGAGGGAATGCTAGAGTGTGTGCTGCTCATACCGATTCGGTGCCTTCTCAGAGTGCCGCACAGACGTGGAGGACTTCTGCTGTTCTTCTAATTTTCGAGGAGTTCTGTAACACATTACAACTGACTGTAATGTGTTGCAGAACTCCATGAAAATCGGCTACTAAAACACATTCTATGTTAAATGTTATGGAACTCCATGAAAATCAACTGATAAAGCACTTTTTTTTTGTTAAAAAGACAAGCATCCTGCCGCCAATCAGCACAAATACAATCATTTTTCGGGTGATTTAGATGATGACGCGATTCTTGCGAAAACAGAACACGACAAAACTTTAGCTAAATATTGTTTTGCAGTTAAGTAGAGAAAGAGAAAGGTTTCTAAGATATTCATAACAAAACTGTTTCCAGCATATAAAAAGCAAAAAGCACAGATTCACACCAACATTTGCAATTAATTAGTGACATTGCCCACAGACAGGGATGGAAACACTGAGCGAGCAGCTTTCAGTGTGAAAATGATTTGTGTGACAACAGATGGGTGGTGTAGCAAACCAGGCACAATCAGCAGCTGCCCTTTGCACCCACGCGACACTTGTGGAGGCATTGCACGGGTAGGAGCATCATGCACTCTCGTGTTCCATTGTGTAACATTGTCAATAGTGCCACTGGCTTGCATTGGTAATTCAACATCCTCATTGTTCTGTCAGTATTAGTATTAGCAAAATCTGTCTCCTTTGGCAGCATACATTTAAAATGCAATATTTTGTTAACCAGTGTGCCAGAAGGAGATGACATGAGAACAGTACATTGTAGTTTAGTACTATAATTAAGTGCACATGTGTTCAAAGCTACTAACACAAATAATCTTTGTTTCAAGATGCTCACACGTGCGAACCACTGTCCGCATGGTGCAGTTGATCGCTGCGTTCTTTTGGCAATGGCTCACTCCAACAGTGCACCGCACACATACCTTCCCTGGAATACCTCGGTGGCTTGGCACTTTACCCTCGCCCTCGAGGAAAGCTCTCATGTAGCCGGCCTTCTCTAACCTGGCCTGTTCTCCTTTCCTACGTTGCTCTTTTCTAGCATTTCCTTTGCTTCCGTCACTCTTTTAACACTTGCATGAGCTCCCATTAAATACAAAAGGTTTGTTTCATTTTGGCCCAATTGCTTCTAATTTTCAAAGCTCCTCAGAAGTTGGGCAGGGAATAGCAGAATTAACCTGTATCTCTTCTTTTTGTGTAATTTTTTTTTTTCGCTCCTACTGGCTTTACTTGTTGCTCGTCGTTTTTTTTTTTATACTTTAGCTGATCATTCTGGCTTTCTCATCACTTGTTTTTCTATTGTATGTTTCAGCTCTCTTTTTTGTTGCAAAAAGTGTGCTTCTGGACTTCTGTTTCGTCCTTGTTTGCTTTCTGGCACCCGAATTTTCGGTGAGGGGTGTGCGGTCACTTGTTGACAGTCCATGTGCCTGTTGGTTTTGTGCCTAGATGGCATTCACAGGCACCGTCATTCTGTCCCAGGGCAACTAAGCTCCTATCTGAGGATTTGCAGTGTCGCCGACCTTCCGAAGGTGTTTGGTGAGTGGTCCCCCAAGTGTCTCCCCCCTCCCCGCTGCCTTTTTCTGATTGGCCCTTTTTTCTCCTGTATCTCATAGTCTTCCTTTTCATCTCGTAAAAAATTGGTGTTGTGAAAGTGTGATGGGAAATTTAATGGGCTTCCAACGTCTAACTTGCTGCAAAACAGTTTGTGTTCAACAGTTATACTCTTGTTTGTGTGTGCATTTACTTTCCATTCTTATCTGGCCAATTGAAGTTACTGCTAATGAAAATCAGCTAGTTCCACATTCATTCTCGTTTTTCTTTTGGTAGCTACCATTTTTGTTCAAAATAAGACCCTTTGCATGGTTCTGTCTTTTTAGTGGGACTGTCCATTCGTCTTTGCAACCCCCCCCCCCCCCCCCCCCCTCCAGCCCGCAAGGTTCTTACTACAGCAATAGGGACTGCCGTTTTACTTCTAGGTTCCTCTGGAAGCTTGTTTAGTACTGCAGTGATCAGTGGTTCTTCGAGTGCCCCAGATCTAAAAAACCTGTTCCCCACTGCTGTGGCTGGTGAGACTTTTTCTTTTACTATAATCCAACAACCAGGCGGGCACTGTTAATGGGTCCCTCTGCGTGGCTCTTCCTCATTTAGTACAGTTTCCTTAACCTACAGCTTAGCGGTCAATGCCGTTTTCCACGAGGATAATTTTTTTCTAGGAAATTCATTGCTAGGCATTCGGTTGGGGCTTGTCAAGTCAACTGACCCGAAAGCGTTTTACTGCAGCTTACAATGTCTCTAAGAGAACTTAATCTTAGCATCTATTTTATAATACCTTGAAGCATAATAAAATTTTCTCCAGAATATTCCTATAATAGTGCACTGCGTGACACTGCTAACACACAGACAACATCAGAACTTTTTCATACTTTATTTCTGAAGGGTACTACAGGCACCAAACATCATTGTTTAGGTTTGTGTCTCAATTGAGCCCTTTTTGCCACACCAGTAGTTTTAATGACAGCCACTGTGATGTTCAGAGAAAAACAAAAAGCGAACAATTGCTTGTTCCCGCTAGCAGTGTCGCACGGCGTACATTAAGGTGGGATCATATGTGTTGTAAATTTTCTCCTTAAAGTATTAATAAAAAAGGGACCACATTTGCTTTTAATTCTAACAACCCATCAGTTGTAAGCATTTCACACCTGCGAGTTCGGAAGAAAGTTTTTGCCACAAATGTGGGCATCCTCTCTTGTTCCAACTGCCTCTCTATTAGAAAGTGGTACTTAGAACTGAGTAGATGCATGCCTACTACTCTTCCACATAGTACTTTTCACAGGTAAGACGAGGGTATAGAAAATTTTAGTAGACTTCTAAATTTCCTAGAAAAACTGAGGTACCTTTATACTATGGTGCACAGGGGCATGCTTAGTACTCGCTTGTTTGAATTTCTATTATGTGTAGCATACTGTGGATATTCTTTGACTGTCATTGTGTTATTTAGGCAAAAAAACAACAATCTTTCAAATGCATAGGGTTTACAGGGCCAGCTCCCGCCGCTTTTGCGTCCCTGTCATGTAGCTTTGACGGTGAGGTCCTACCAACAGATCTTACGCGACTGGCAACGTCACGTGACATCACATGCCACTTAGACATTTCGTCATCACGTGATGTAACGTTGAGAGACACTGACATCGCAGAGAATCTATAAATGCTGTGCCTTTAAAGCGTTTTTGGGTTGTACCAACGAGACAGGCAGTTTCTGAGTCTTGTCCTACAGAGTGGGCGGTTGCGGTTGCAGACGGGATCGTGAGCGTCCCGTCGATCCGTCCCCTGGAAACGCTGCACAATGCGCTGTCCCTGCATCAGTTGGACCAGTTCCTGGGAAAGGTGACTAGTGCAACGTACAGGCTGCTCTTGAGCTCGGTTCCCAAGGTGCCCGCATCAGGATGCTCCTTCAGCAACAGCCAGTTCTCGGCCCTGCCCGTGGCATCGCCCTCTAGCAGTGAGTGTACCGGTCATGCACCGTTCTCTTGTGCTTCTCACCTGTCTGAGCACGCGTGCCATGGCAGTGATTGCTTTTTGACCGGGAAGGACGGGTCAGAGGCAGGGTTCTACCAACGATAAAAACCTGGAATTATCGGGGAATAGTCGGGGATTGTCAGGGAAATCGTCAAAAAGTCTACCAAGTCGGGAAAAGTGGGCAATGGTGGGCAGCGCAGCGCCCACATCGCCCATTTTTCCACGCAGCTTGCCACTGTACTTCCGTGGAGCGACACTGCTTTTAGGTGGAGCGCGACGTAATGACATTAGGTTTATTTGTTTAATGTTTTGGTGTCTTTTCGAGCAAAGAATTGATGTCTCCATGGTGTGGCCAGAACGTGGTTGACATTTAGACAATAGGCGCTAGAATTCCGTTGCAGTATGCCTTTAGTCTGTCACTGATCGGAAAGCTTGCTTGCATCCCATGTTTCTCATGAGGCTGCAGCACACCAACTTTGCACCCATTTCAAGCACGTAGAAAGGCATAGTTCTACATCGAAACCCGTTTGCCTTACTGACGTCTAACTCATGGTTAGCTCAGTTGGGAGAGCGCTCCACTGGAAATGGGGCGGTCCCTGGTTCGATTCCAGGACCAGGCGGCTTTCAGTGTGCACCAGTCACCTAGCTGTGTTTGGAGATTTTTGTTTGTACTTTGTCCCCCTTGTTCCTCTTCTCCAGGGATTATTATCATTTATTCTGTCCAGCTCGCCTGCACCCAGTGTGTCGAACCGAAAAAAATACGGGTTCGGTTACGGTTCAGGTTCAGGTAAATTAATTTTGTTCTGGTTCAGTTCCGGTTCGATTAATTCGATCCGCGAACCGGTTCGGGGCGCTGAACCGGTTTGCGAACCGGTTCAGAAATTATAAATGACAAATTGCAACATCAAAATAAATTACAAATAAAATATCTGAAATCAGCACATACGAAACGGGATACATCGTAGTGTAAGGCTCAAGGATTTCTACCAGGAATGGTTTCTTTATGTGCACTCAAAGGTTACCTCACCGACGTTTACGCATTCGGACTTCATCTAATTGGGTCCGACGCAGTAGCTGTAAAATCCGCGACCTCCTTACAAACCCACTTACAAGTAGAACTCGCTAACTATCCCGCCACCTCGGCGTGTAAGCAATTGAAGGAACAGTGGGGAGAAAATACAGCTTTCTTTATTTGAACTAGCCTTCGGTAACTCAAATTAGACCCTTAAAGAAGTTTTCATTAAACAAGATACGGAATATGAAAAACACTTCACCCAACGCAACGCCAGAAGGACGTAATAGGATAAATATTTATTAAAATAGAAGAGTTCGCTGTCTCACAAATATGTCAGCTTCTAGCATTATTATCAAACTCCACAGCCTTTTCTTTTTTCATTCCGATGGAAGCAAGCTTCAAGAACTCGTGCATTCTACAAACGCGTTATGAAATGAGCACACAGCAGCATTTAGGATTTACGAGATTGTAGAAAAATTAAATCCCGTGACGCGATTCTTTTTTTTTTGCACAGCCTTTTAATTTTCTTTCTTCCGTGCAAGCCGCGACCAGCGCAATCACTGATCTCAATGACAATTTCTGGATCGCGCTTGCCGCTCCGCAAGTGAAGCCACCGGACCCAACCCCGCTGGGATACGATTTCCCGTTTTGCTAGCCTTTTGCTGCGGTTTTCCAGCGTGCTGTAGACACGTTTTCTACTCGTTCGTCGTCATTCGCCGAGGAAGTTTTTGAGACTCTGTGTATTGTTGAGGCTTGCTGTCGTGAACACGTGGAAAATTTTACGAAAGCGCAGTGTCGCAGGAAAAAGGCACAACTCGTCGAAAGCAAGGGTCTGGCGGCGTGTTCAAAGCTTCCTTGGCACGCCAAAGTGCCGTGTCTCTGTGCCTTCGCGCGCTTGGATACCGATCAAGAATCGACGCCGTGTGGATGTGTTTTGCGAGTGCAATGTGCGTGAAGCCGTATCAAAAGGTACAACTCGTCGAAAACAAATGTCGCCGGTGTCGCGGCGTGATCAAAGCTTCCTTGGCACGCCGAGTGATGCATCTTTGTGCCTTCGCACGCTTGGATACCGGTCAAGTATTGACGCCGCGCCAAAGTTCTGAACGTGTGTCGCGCGTAGATGCCTTTAGATCATTTATATATATCGGCCACGGAGTTCTGGATCGTCCAGCTGTTCCGGTGAGTTGCTATCAATAAAAGGGGGAGATCCGTACATGTTCTTATGTACTATATTAACCATGGCTATGTCCCAAATCCACTCTAATAGATTCCGTGGGAGCACGAATAGGGCAACGTTGTGGAGCCAGGGGGTTTTTCGAAAGCAAAAGTACAAGACGGCGAGAATGAAAATCTTTGAAGCGCGGCCGATATGGTCGTGTGCAATCTGTTGACCAATTACAATTAGGCGAGCCGCGCTCAAGCGTCAAGTGCAATTAAGTAGGTTGATAATAAGCCAGCACTGATCAGTGATGAGGAGCTGTTGTGCACGGTATTGTGTAAATCGTCTAAGGACGAAAAAAAGACGTACCTTCCCCCCCATCTTCCGTCGCTAGTGGACGCTGGATTAAGCTCGTTCCTAAACTGCGAGGGGAAAAGACGCTGATCCAGAGGCATGAACAGCTTCACTCACATTGCACTCGCTAACCACATACACACGGCGTCGGTTCTTGGTCGGTATCCAAGCGTGCGAAGGCACAGAGACACGGCACTTCGGCGTGCCAAGGAAGCTTTGAACACGCCGCCAGCCCTTCCTTTCGACGCATTGTGCCTTTTTCCTGCGACACTGCACTTTCGTAAAATTTTCCACGTGTTCACAACGGCAAGTCTCAACAATACACAGAGTCTTCAAAAAACTTCTTCGTCGAATGACGACGAACGAGTAGAAAACGTGTCTACAGCACACTGGAAAACCGTAGCAAAGGCTAGCAAATCGAGTCAAGTCCGGTGGCTTCAATCGCGCTGCAGCAAACAAGCGGGGAAGCGCGATCCAGCAATTGTCAGAGCGCAATACTGGTTCCTACGCCAAGATTCATGGATGCAGCGTTTGTCAAGATTCATGGATGCAGCGTTTATATTCCTAAGACTGAGTGGAGAAGAAAAATATGTAAGCGAGGTGTGTGTCAGTTGACGGCACTTAAAAAACAAATGGCATTGATAGCACAGTCTTTGTCAACAGCGCGTGGCCAAACCGTTTTGACATGAGCCGGTAACCGCTATTTTTTTTCCGGTTCAGTTCCGGTTCGGGTTCATCGCGATAACAATATAACGGTTCAGGTTCGGGTTCGGTTCCGGAAAAAAATACCGGTTCGGTTCCGGTGTTCGGTTCGGTTCCGGTTCGACACCCTGCCTGCACCTTTGGATTAATTGCATTAACATCATAGTTTTGGGCGTTTGATTTTTGTAAGTGGCACAGAATGGCCCAACTTGCTTTAGCCTCATCAAACCCATAGTCATCAGATTGACTGTTGCAAACTGTCTAGATTCAGGTCTCACTGCACATTAGACAGTCAGTATCTTAATTAGCAAACTTTTACAATTGGCGATATTAATAATGAAAATTCACCTCGAGAGCTGCTTGCAATTTTAAATCCGTGACGGGAAGATCAACCAAATCATCTAATACTCCGTTCACTGATATTTTTTTTCGACTGGAGCAAACAGTCCATTAGGACTCTATACCTTCACCAGATCTCAGCTTATGCATGCACTTTTCACTCCGATTTGGAGAAGCGAATTGCCAAATTGGAGAGAGTGGATCGCATCCATGAGCAACGGAACACCGTTTGTCGATTACAATTGACATTTTATACTCCGTTTCACTGTAGCTTGGCAAACAACGAAAGCTGCGTACTGTCCCAGCGAGCCAATCAGCACGTTGGGGAGAGACACCTGACTACGTTCCATCTCGCTCGTTTCATGCAGTGCTGTGGAAGCCACGGGTGGGAGAGTGAGGAAAGCTGCTTATGTACAAATTTGGAGCGACTGGCTTATCTTCTGGGGGGACAAAGCAACGTCTGGTACACACAAGAGAGGGTCCAGTTCAGAGGGGAGCTCCTCCTTCCCCTCTGCATAATAGTGCGTGCGTAACACAATGTTACACAACTTGGTGTGTAACGTTTGCTCTTCGCCAAGCTACAATGAAACAAAGTTTACCGCACTCTATTTAAAGGCAAGAGTGTAACCCAAGCAGTTGGAGAGGAAGGAAGAAAGGAGGAACTTTCTTCTTTTACTGCACTGCACACCAAGGTGGCTTTCCTGTCTCTCCTGCCTGAGGCTTTAATTGCACTGCGCACAACTAGTGGGATAGAGCGTAGTCCCCAAGTTCGCGGAATCTTCCGCGAGCCATGGCGCATGCTGAGACGGGCCTCTTGCGGCATCGCAGGCATGATCTGGAGCGGACCGCCGTCGTTCGTGTCGAGCAGCGGGCCGTCGACTCCCACGTCCTCGACGCTGGACATCTGGACCAGGCTGCGCCAGATGGCCGAGAACGACCCGAACGCGGCCGCAGACTCCTCGGGCACCACCAGCAGGAACAGCTACAGCACCCCTCCTTCCCCCCACGACCCAAGATACTACAACAACAGTCTCTAGGAGCAGTCGGGCAAGGGTTCTCATAGTCTTCTTTTGTAAATAGCTCAGAGAGGAAACCTATTTTTTTGAGCTGCGGAGACCAAGGGTCGTGCGTGGGGCGTGCTGGAGCTGCTGCCGAACATAGTAATAACGAATAAAGCCACTTGTTTCTGACTTCAGTCATCAGGTTATTGTGTCTCCCTCTGCTTTTTTGGTTCCCAAGTTGTTTGCAGGAGATGTCGCAAACTCCCAGCTGAAGTGATATGTGACTGCCACACCAGACTGCACTCCAATATTTATGGTGCTACATCCTGCACGTTTTGTCAAAATACAGAGGGGAGTGATTCGAGCCATTGGAACAATGTGATCGCGTTATTCGAAATTAAAATAATGTGATCTGTATTAGAAGAGATGCTCCTGCTCCTCCGGTAGCACCCATTTGTGTTAGAGTGAAGTGGGAGTAATAACTTTGTATTCCTAGAAAGGTGCATCTTGGCATTAAAGGAGAATAAGAGCATCTCGTTAGTGATTTCGGCAATCTTGCACACCTGCGCCTGGTGGCTTCTTGCAATGCCGCTCCCCTGCTACACCTCTGTGTCTTTAGGAAAAGTGCCTTAGTAGGATGGTTTGCCCATGCTAAACCAATAATCATTTTTTATGTAACTATGTTTTACGCCCTGGCCGCAACATTCTTTTTGTGGTGCCTGATGCTTTAGAAACAACTAAAGGGAATTTTGGGTTTCGGAGACTTAAACCATTATTCTAAGGAAGCCACTGAGCAGGGATGGGCGAAATACATGCAAATATGTACCGAAATACAAATACAAAACACTTCGTCAAAAGCGTATTTAATTACAAATCTAATTACATTTCCAAAAAAAGCATTTAAGTACAAGATACAAATACAGCCAAATGTATTTGGTCTCCTTCGAATACTTTTCCAAATACATTCCTCAAAATTTGCATCAGCGACTTCAGGGCACCTGCAACAGGTTTTTGGGTATCTCATTTTAGTTTTGCATAGCACACTCGGGAGTTAGTGTGCGAGGCTCTAGTAACGTAATAGAAATATAATCACAAAAAATGTGATCAGCTTGGAAGTAATGGGTGAAAAAAGTACAGAGTTTCAAGCAGCTTTTTTTGTCGATTACATTTTGGTATAGACCAACAAAGAACTGAGACGACCAAAACGCGCAGCACTAGCTAGAGAATTTTTTATTGTTGCAACTCGCACCAGTTACGAAAATCTGGACGACCCGCGCATTTAGAATGTTCCAGGCAAAAATATGGATGAAAATCAGGCTGGAAAGCATTACAAGTTGTCGCAGGCACTTCTTTAGCCAGGCTGCCTGTGAACGTCGATTTTGTCACTATTCTTGCCTTGGACTAGCACCGTAATCAAAAAGTCACTAAACGCTTGTGCTTGATTGGGAGACACTGCAATCGGTGCAGAACGTAGTTTTCTTCCTGCTCTGGACAGTGACAATAAATTTGAGGGATGTATTTTGCCCACAAAATTGTATTTAACTACAATTGTATTTGAAATACATATTTTAAATACTTGTATTTGAAATACTGCCCATCCCTGCCACTGAGTATATGCTGGAGCAGAAAAAAAGAGGGCATTCTCTTTTTGTGCAGATTGATGCAGGAAACTTCACCATCTCTATTAATCAAGCTTTTGGTATATTAACAGAGATGCTTAATCAAGCTTTTGTAGTGAAATATATGAGAACCAGGCATATATAACATATGTATCCGAAACTTTATTTCTTCTGTATGCGACTTGCTTCTTTTCATACAGTAGCTGTATGGCAATTTTCATTTTATTCTTTTCTTTTATGCAAGTTTTAGAGTTTGTATAGCCATAGTAACACCGTCTTTATAAGCACATCTGATCACAAAGGTATAGTAACGAAAGCTGACAGAACTATAAATAAGTGTATTTCAATTTCTTGCCCCTGTACTGCTGTGCCTTTGCTTACTTTTAAGCACCACTGTTTGCTGCATTTTTTTTTACAGCGGAGCTGTGAAGGGCTAGTTTCCCCAGTTTCGTGTCCATGGTCAAATAAAATTTGACACAAACCTCTAGACAGCTAGGGCCATCTAAAAGCAACGGCGGCAACCTTTCCAGGGCCTTTCTACGCTGTTTTTCACCAGAGTGGAAAGGCTGAAGTTCTCTAGGCGTCGTCCTAGACTGTATCCTTGAGGTCATCCGAGAGGTTGTCCTAGAAATCGTCCTGGTGGCCGTCTGAGATGTTGTCCTTGAGGTTGTCCTAGACGTCGTCCGAGAGGTCGTCCTAGACGTCGTCCTTGAGGTCATCATAGAAGTCGTCCTTGATGTCGTCCTAGACGTCGTCCTCTAGGCGCAATCCTTGAGGTCGTCCAAGAAGTCGTCTTTGAGGTCGTCACACCATAGTACAGCTTTGCTGATCTTCCTTCTTCAGCAGAGTGGAAAGGCTGAAAGCTTTTCTTCTATTTAATAATGTCACTGGATTCTGGGAAAGTAGCGCCAAGCTCCCCGTACAATCGCCGTTTTGGTTTGTGGAATGAGCAGTTTCTCCTTGACCTCTCCATTCTTGGTGAGCCAATCTAAATTAACTGCTGACAAGTAGCTTTACCGAGACATTCCTTGAATACCGAAAGTTTGTTATCCACACAACGGCGACACACGTCCATATTTTCTCATTGCCACCACATGCAGCGTTGGTGCTTGGTGGCGTTAAAAAAATAATTTTACTCGAAATACGCAAGAACAGCAATTGTAAGAGGCTGTGAATATGAGCACTATATTGATAAGTGGATTGCATGCCCAGCACCACAGATGCTTATATTGGCCAGGAAGGCTTTCAATACGATGATGCTCCATAGCGATCTTGATGCAACTGGTTCAGGACGACCAGGAGCGTAGCTAGGCCATCTGGCACCTGGGGCCCTTACGTCTATCGTAGCAGCCCCCTCCCCCCACCTCCCCATTCACTCCCCGAGATCGCAACCAACTGGCAATTGCCATGGCAACTGAGACCGATCAGTCGATCACCTTGTATGGTTTTGTTGTCTGTATGTTAGTATCTTTTTGTGTCTGCAGCCAGCAGGCAGGGATGGCAATGGCACTACTTTTCCAGGATCCAGTGACTTTAGTTATCACTAGATGCCATATTTGACGATGTTGTTTAGAGTGCATGCTCAGAATAAGCTCACGTTAATAAGCTGCTGAAACCGGCAGTCTCGATGGGGTGAAATATATGCACATTGTAAAATAACTGTGGAAGCTCGCCATCAGCAAGCGCTTGGCAGTTGCACACAGGTATGGCCACCAGTGGACATACTTCGGTAGTATTCAATTACAGTAGTTGAATTACTGTAATTGTAATTAATTACTTTTGGCTAAAGAAATTTTTAATGTAATTACTTCCTTGCGCCAGTAATTGCAAAATTTCAGGCAGAATTACAATTAGATTGCAAGACTTTGCAATGCTGTCGGGACCTCTCTGAAAGCCTAACCACTTACGCAAGTGGCCTAGTGCTCGGAGATGCACTCGACCACGCAGACATGCACTCACACACGCACAACAAAAATAGTGTCGCTTTGTTTATTGTTTTGTTGTTACACTGCGGGCTGAGAGACAATCCTCTGGAGCCTACCTCAACGGTGCCATGTGGTGCCGTCTGCAATGCGAGTAGAAAACAATAACGTAAACATTGATTGATAACAAATTTACATGAAGATAACTTCATTACATTTATATTGCATTGCTCATGCTAGCGAGATGAGCGAGATATAGCTGAGCAACGGCACAAAATTTGCGTTTTCCGGGAAATTTTTCTTGTCAAAAAACAAAACAAAAAAAAGTTGGGGCACCAACAAACTGGTCAAGGTTTAACATTTTCGACAAAACCCCGAGACTGGGGGAAAGGAAGGACAGCACAACACGAAGTGTCGAACACAGCTAAAATTTATTGGACAGAAGATCGTGGTTTTATAGGGTACAAGTGCCCCGAAAACAAAAAGGAGGGAGAAAGGGGGAGGTTTAACTTCTCTTTCCCGAACGCACAAGAGAGGGGGGGGGACCATTTGTTACCACTTTGGGACCACTTTTGATGTATGGGCAGCATACCAGTCGAAGACGCGCTCCAGGCACACGGTGCAACTGCAACTAGCCTGGGGTCTTTAACGTGCATCACACAGTAGCGATGCACGTCGGTACGATACTCATTCAGATCAAAACAGGCAGGGGTGGGTATTAAACCCAGGATCCCTGGATTCTGCAGCACGAGCTTTCGCTCCACGTGCTCCAAAATGACACTTTTGAATTTCGCGGGCTTCCGTCAGGCGGCGCAGTAGTCTGATTTATCGGCGCAGTCGGCGCACTCAAGCCAATCAAGCTGTGAGTCGGGAAGAACTCCAACGTCGAAGAACCAAAGCTTCCTGAAAACCGAGATTCGGGTGGCATGTCCACAACCAACCTCCTCGAACAGGGCACGTCCTACTTGATAGTGGACTGTGAGTTGACGGAGTTCACATGCCGCTTATGGCTCTTTGTAGACGCCTACAATGCCGTCTCTGACTGTGGCGAAGCCAGCAAAGTAGTCCACTTTGTGCCGGCCATCATGCTTCGGTTCCGTCGCAGGTCAGGGCGTGATAGGAGATGCGCGGGCTACCCATGTGTCTTCCTGTCCCAAACCGACGGCAGTACAGGAAAGCGCCGCCGGCGTAGCGTCTACCAGCAGCTGGACGGAGGCCGTGTCAACCTACAAGTGTGAGTGGAGGGGCTGCTAACGTCGGGACTGTTGTAGTCCTAATAATATTACGCGGTTTTATGTTGTCCCAACACTTGTTTGGGCTCTTCCGAAGCAGGCATCTGAGCTTTGCCAACAGCATTCTATCATTTTCGCTCTAGCATTCGGACCTCTCCATTGCCAAGTTTCATGAAATAGACCAGCGGAAAATTAAAAAAAAAAAAAAAGAAAGGAGTATTTACTGATTCAGGAGGAAAATGTTTAAAGAGCCAGCAATATTTTAACAAGTTAATTGTTATAGGAATCAGTGTACGGTAACATGGTGATGATACCTCTCTTAAGTTAATCCATTACCAGAAAAATAATGGATGTTTCATTGACCAGAGAGGCGCGGTTATTCAACAGCAAATAATGCATCTAAATCCCCCCCCCCCTTCCCAAAAAAAAAAAAAAAATGATGCTTCAGGTTAGTGGTTGTGCAGCCTGTGCTGCATTTCACCCCCATGTGCCTGTGCTTGAAGGCAAACTTCGTTAGAATAGCTGGCAGTACACAAATTATGCAGACGCCCATGGGATGAACCTTCGTAGGGCATCTGCACTTGTCACGACTAAATGTGTTGATTTTCTGTATCCCTACACAGCTTCTCCTGTATAAAAATGTGATGTCAGATATAACCCCCGATTTACAGTCCAGAGCTGATGTACAGAATGTTTGGGATTCACATATCAAGAATGGGTGACTCAAAGGGACCATTTGAAACACTCTTTGTCTAAGCTCACAAAAGGAAGGTCTTTTTTTTTTTTTTGTCTACCGCTCCTAACACACACACACAAAAAAAGAACCATATATTTCCTCTCTGCAAAGGTGAACTACTGTAAACAAATTTATTTTTTGGTGAGATTAAAGGGATACTACAACGAAATTTTGGCACTCATTTTTTGGTCTATATGTGTTCAAAGGAGCAGTATCACATCGAACATACCAATATCTTGTTAAAAAAGTATCGAAAAGGAATTTTAAAACGAATTAAACGATTAGCAAAGAGCACCTGGTGGATGTCGCTAACGCCTCATTTGTAATGCTAGTCTAGGAACCTTGACAGCTAGTGACGGAGGTTATCTTGCCTCCGGCCACGACGAAAGAAGAGGGGAAGGAGGAACTCCCCTCTTCCTGAGAATGCATTTTGTGTGTCGCAGAAGTCGCTATTGTCCCCCTACAAGATTACAGAAGATAATCCCGTCACTCAAAATTTGTACAAAAACAGCCGCTTCGGTGGCTGGAACGACTAGGCCACCCTCTCGACGTCAGCCTCGCCGTAGCTTTGCTCGTCCTGAGACGACCTACGTCACGATTGCGTTGGATGTCACGTGGTCTCCGCTGGGCCTTCCCCGAGCGCTTGCCAGAGTGGGCCGTTTATAACGAAAAATACAACCACCAGGCTCAAATACAAACGTGTGATTGTCATTTACAGATATTGTGGATCATATTCAATTTATTTTTGAACACCGCGGGAATATTTCAAATTTCGTTGATGTATCCCTTTAATATTTTGCAATGTCCTGGTTTCCGCAATATTTCACAGACACAAAATTTTGCAATATAGAATGATATGCTATGTGTTCGTCATCACAAGCTAATTTGTTTGTGCGATAACTCTTTTTGTAATCTGTTACAAGTCATGAAATTAATGAATATGTGGTCCTTGTAAACATTAGGTCATTCATTGCCAAATGCTCAGCCTCTGCCCAAATATAACGGTGGCAGTTGGGATTGGACGGCATAATTTCTGGAGTATCGTTATTTCCTGAAATTTGTGTGAGAAAATGGGGCTAATTTTTAATAGCAGACACCATTCTTCGCCACGCGCTGCTGGCCGCCATTTCCTACTCACAAATTTTCGAAAAATCGCTTGTACCTTGATTTGAATTAGATAACGGTACAAGTTTGGAAACTTGGGCATCTGGCCCAAATCATTAGCACTACATTTAAGTAGAGACACAGCCTTTGGCGATGCATAGTTTATTTTTGCAATGAAAAAAGCTCTGTTCTCTTTTCTTGCAAACATGTGGTATTTTGGGTATCATCATCAGCTTATAGCAATTAAGTATTTGGACCGAGGACTCACATTATTTAAGTGGCATTCATACATAAGTAGGGCTCCGCGTTTTCCGATAAATCGGACAAAATCAGACAAACACTGGTCGGTAAATTTTCTGTGAATTCGGATTTATCCGAAAAAGCTCTGAATTTCGAAGTCACAGCGACAAAATAAACAGCCAAAAAGACTGAGTTTTACAACTAACCTTTATAAAAGAACAAGGTCAGTGGTCCCGAGGAGATTCCACTTCACTATCTTTTGAACTCTAGAACTACTGACGAAAGACGTTTGCGTTTTAGCACGTCGAGGTTCCTTTGGGACAACAGGTGACATTAATCAAACCTTATTTATTTTGTTTTCTGATTTTTTTTAATGTTTTTTATTTCACGCTCTAAAATAAATTTTAAATTTCAAAGAATGGGGACTCTAACAAAAATAAACTCTGATAAACCCCAAATCCCCAACGAGAAATAAACTCCGAAAAACACCCTCATAATCTCACAAGAAATAAACTCCAAAAACACGGAATCCTATACATAAGCCACGGCTAATCTTGTATTATATCGCCAGTCAAGGCTGTCTGCATAAATGCTATACTCTATCTGCTGGACAGTTGCATAGTTATGTGTAGCCTTTTTGATTATATATTTAAACTTTTGGTAGTATATTAAATATATCCTGGGATGAAAGTAGGCAATGGGGAGATGGACGATTTTTCTGCATCGTGCATTTCTTGTGACATGTACGAGAGCTGATCGACAAGCTATGTGACTTCTGTTTTCCTTTGCCAGGAGGTAGATGGGCGGTGTTTGCCTGACGTTTGTGAAGATAATGCATCCACACGTGTGAACCTGCAGTTGAACCATCATAGTCTTTAGCGTTCCGTCGCAGCAAATGAAGGCGCCCCATAAGAGACTGGGGCAGCCCAATCTAGGTCACCGGAGCTCAATAGAGCCGGCAGAATCTTGCTTCCTTGGTTGAGAGAGTGTCTGCACTTGCTTGAACATGTGGAACCTCCTGACATGGCGATTTCCTAAAATGTTCCATTGAATTTTGTGTTGACAAATAAAGTTCTTCAGAGCTAAGGGTTAGTGATCCTATAAAAAAGGCCACTTCAGTTTTTTTTCTTTTTTTAAGTCTTGGGCCATTAACTAAAGGGAGTTCTCTCATTTATCTCGTCCAGGTTTGTTCAGTTCAACGAGTCAGTGTTTTTCCGGGACATGACAAAAGTCGCTGTTCCAATTTCCAGTTTGGACCATGTTATTTGTGCTTCTTGAATAGAGGAGGGGTTGTATAACAGTGAAAGGGATGAATTCTTGTAGATTTCATAGGAGCGGGGAGGACAGCGGGAGCTTTTATCGACTACGTCCAGGCGTGTGGCTGATTCAAAGTACCAACATTTATTGAAGCAACACTCGTTTGCAAGATTTATTACCGAGTTTTAGTAGTGGGGTTTCCCCCTCCGCTAAGCCCCTCCGCTACCCGGAACTCTACAGCCAAGGCCATCGGCACGCAGGCGCTGTGGCGGTTTCTTCGTAGCGGAGGGGGAAACACAGTCTACTAAAACTCCCTATTGTGGGACGGCTAGTACTGCCAGTCGCAAGGGCGCCAATGCCAAATGCTGCTGCGGAAATATCATACCGGTGCATTTTAACGACTTCAGGGTATGCTTTTGTCCGAACATAATTTATTTTTATTTTGAATTGACTTTTTGCAGAAATATCGGTTCGAGAGTGAAGGGATTTGGTGCCCTCTCTCTCCTTTCTGGCCAAGCAGAAAGGGAAGATGGTTTCATTGTATCAGCTTGGGGCCGGACATAGCTCACAACCGGGACAAGGGTAAAGTGTGGGGGCACCCTATTAGGTCACAGCAGCTCAATGGGCAAACAGGATGTACCTAAAGGTTTAAACTTGTACTATTTAAGCGTGTTGGTGCTTTTTAAACGGTTAGAAAGTGAAGACACATAATGGACGATACAGACACCACTTTCTAAATGTCTGAAGGTTTGAGTGAGGAACGGGTGGGAGAAGCCTTGTTTGGGTGCTCCATTGTTTTCTAGCCACTTAGTCTCGAACCCAGCTGCATGTCTAGATGGCAGCACATATTTGACAAAAGCGAATTTTGAAAAATTGGGGACACAGTGAAATGAAACTTTGAATTTTGGAGACTTGAGATACAAAAATAAACTCCAATAATCCCCGAATTTCTGGCGAAAAATATACTCCGAAAAACACCCTCCAAATTTGATGAAAAATAAACTCTAAAAACATAAAACCCTAATTATAACCAATATAGTAACTGTGAAGGGCTTAAAAAAGAAAATAATCAAAGCCTTTAGAGTCACCCAATTCTGAATAGAAAAATCGGTCTCATTACTTTTTATGTGGCCCTTATAAATTTACAATACATGAATTTTATCTTCATGTTTTGTTACCCTTAAGACTTATGGCCAATCGTAGTGCGTCTTACATTGATTTCCAATAAGCCTAATTGAATTGTCTTCAAGAGGTATCGTCAAGAGCCGGTAAGAGGTATCGTCAAAAACTAATACCTCTTACATACATTATGAATATGAAGCTCTAGATAGCTATTCTATGAATTGTCTCGTAATTTTTTTATTAAGTGGTGTAGCTTTTGTCATTTCTTATTGTAGGCATCAGAAGGTTTTCTATAATTTGCTGCTATATCTGATATCGAGTGAATCCAGGATTATATGTTGAGTACAAGAGTTCAAAAAAATGTATTTGTTTTGAGTTTGTTGGCTTTTAGTAGTATGAAGTACTTTATAAGGCAGCTCTTTTACAAAAGTACATACATATAACGTTCACAGCCATAAGCCTAGATGGTTTCAATGTGAGTGTGCTTTGACAATTGCAGTTTCCCAAGAATCAACAAGGAGATTCATTATAAAGCGGCATGAACTGCAACATCTTTTTACCGGGAAGAGAAACACTGGAAAGTATGGTTATCAGTGAGTAATTTCCTATCTAATATGATTCATTCATGCTTCAAGATTGTCTTAATCATGATCTGTCTGGCACGTGGAACACATTTTTTAGGAATCTCATCAGCCTCGAAGAGCATCTGGCATAGGGTTGCATACATTTGTGTCTGCAGCAAATTGAAATGAATCCATATGAACCAAAAGACAAGCCTTTGTGCCATTCTGACTGATTGCCTATGAAAATCAAATTAAGAAAAAAAAAGCACATGAATGTATTGTATATGGAGGCATTGGTGCATTTCACTTCTGTGACAGTTTTGGTTGGTACTTTATGGCCTTTTTTTTGGGGTGTGCTTAGGTAACTGTGCCACCAAACTTGCCTTTTTAGAGCGCAGCTCTTAGGCGCCCGTTTCCGGCTTGAGCGGCGTCGCCGTCGGCGTAACCAGGGTCACCCAAGGTCACGTGACCCCCAGGACATGCGACCCCCCAAGGTCACGTGACCCCTCTCAAGGTCACCCCAAGGTCACTTGACCCCTCCTAAGGTCTCCCCTAGGTCACGTGACCCCCCCGGTCACGTGACTCCACAGGTCACTCTGACCCCCAAGGTCGCGTGATCCATCCCAAGGTCACGTGACCCCCAAGGTCTCGTGACCCCTCGAGATCACGTGGCCCCTTAAGTCACGTGGCCCCCTCCCCCCGAGGTCACGTGACCCCCTCCCCCCGAGGTCAGGTGACACCCCCGGAGCATATTAAAGAATGAGGGGAAGAGGAAAAGAAGAAGGGGGAGGGGTCTACCCTACCCTCAGTACCCTTCCCTCCTCCTCTTCAAGAGCTGCGCTCCAATGCGGCATTACAGGAAGTTGTAAACGGCTTTCACTTTTTTTTTATTTTTGCTCCTGCATTACAGTAGTAATAATGTTCCTCTCCTTTTCTTTAAACTGTTATGATAGCAAATGTATATGTGAATGAAAAAAGCTATTGACAGAAGAACTTCTTTTTTTACAAAAAAGTTGGTTATACCTACATGCCTTGCACGTGATGTCATGTGGCACTGGTCTGTACCATGCTCCTTTGCCCATACGTTCTGTAGCAAATATTTGGCACCATGGAATTTGTTCTTCTCGACAAGCCTTGATGAGAAGAAAAAAGTTGATAGTGTGAAATGTATGCTGCAGAAGGTACGGGGACAGGAGGATGGTACGGAGTAATGGATGCTGATGTGACGTCAATGCAAACCATGTATGAGGAGACCACTGCCTTTATTGCGTATCGCCGAGCGACAAGAATAATTTTTAATTTGTAGGAAGCCAATTGCTTGGTGCTTGCTACGAATGAAAGAGTGTCTGCTTTATGCAGGTGTGAGTATAGCAATAAATAATATGTTTTTTTTTCCAATTTATATTTTGCCCCAAAAAAGGGGCGGGCGATGGTTTGGTGATGGTTGCAGTGTCACATATTTTTGTGTTGCAAGGTCACTCTAAAAAAGTAAGAAATTGAGCCTGGGTATGACAAACTGAGGTTTTTTTAACAGTGTTCCAATTACCAATTTCACACAATAGTCTCAAAATAAAATTCCTTTTTTTGCAAGATATTGAAAAAAACAAAAAAACTTACTTTTTGATGGTTTGTTTGCTGTTACGGATTTTAGGAGTATGTTCAATGCCAAAGTGTTATAGTTAGATTTATTTGGAAGAATGTAAGCACTGAAATACACTGAGTAAACTGCAGCTTGAGGGAGAGAAACTTCTAGATTATTTGATGACATATGAATAAAAAATGCCTAAAGTACCCTCCATGCTTTTCACCTTTTATTTGGTGTTTAGATTGTTCCTCTATACTTTTCACTCTTGCACCCTTTTCTGAATGTTTTCTTTTTTTTTATCTTGCTGCTTTTTATAAGGCAAGTAAATATCTGTATCTACAAAACTGCTTTTCCCAAAATTTACCCCATGCTAGCAAACCCAAATTCTAGTTCTAAGCAAACTATGATCAGGAAGGCTTAACATTTGACGATTCTTCACCCTAGGCGCATCATCACAGAGCTGGGTCTTTACGGTGCTACAGTTGAGCAGTGCCGGAAAAAGTGGCTCAACCTGCTCAAGAAATACAAGGCGAGTGACTAGATGGATGTCCCGGCAACAATGCCCAGAGTGCCAAAAACAAAACTTAACCACCACGACACCTCGTTTTAAAGCAAAAAGACACTTAAGACTGCTAACGTGTAGGAATGCGAAAACATTCGTATGCATAGCATATTCCTACGAACTGCGCGCCGCGCTGAGCCCGGCCGGGCGACATCTGTGTAGGCTGCTCGGCCACCCTCTCCCTCTCCCTGGCGGCTGTGCAGTTGCACAATGGAGAGGGCTTCTCTGTGGGGTGGCGTTGCTTGGAAGTATAAGCGTCTTGGCCAATGGCTCTATAGGAGCCGTTTCACTGGGAATTTCTTTCGCATTCTTTCGTGGTTACAGACGCCGAATTACTTTTGCATTCTTTCGTGGTTACAGACGCCGCTGGCTCCTCGCATTGTTCGCGATTACGGATGCTGCTGGCTCCGCTCTCCTAGACGGTTAATGCTTTTGCATTAATATGCGATGTCGCAGAATCACATAATGCGACGTCCCAACTTCCCCGCTAATTTTATCTGCTAAGTTCCAACACAAAGTTCTGCTCGTTAAAAACCCAATCAAGCGTTATTGCTCCTCCGTTGCATTTGCGGAATGTCTCAGCCAGGCAAACGTTTCCTTTGGACTTTTCTCCAGGAGCTGAAGACTCCACCAAATGGCACAAATCCAGAGAACGAAGAGTTGACATGGCCGTACTACTCCCTGCTGGACGCCATAATGAGTGGCAGGGCCGTCAACAGTCCCCCCTGCCTCGTGGCCTCAGCTTCAGCGGGGACGGGAGAGCAGATCCTCGAAGGGGACGACGGGGTCTGTACTGCAGCTGGTGGTTTTGATCCATTTTTTTTAATGCAGACTGTGTTTTAGGGCTGGCGGCCTAGTATAGAGACAGCATCACGAAAGGTTGTAGCAAGAAATATGCTAACACGGGAAGGTTTCTTTGCAATCATCACTTTGTTCCTTGGCGGGAATCGAACCAACAAACCCTCAGTCAGCAGTCCAATATCTACCCTTGCACTGCCAGAGCGGTCTGGAAATCTGTAATTTCGGCAGCTATATATGTGCTCATGTGGTTGCAAAAACATTTGTTGCAACACTATCGGGAGGGGTTAGTTACATGATGTCACATGATCACGTAATCACACTAAGTTAAAGGATCATGTAATCACTGTAAGCTACGTGATTACATAATAAATAATGGCACGTCACGGGACCATGTCACTTCACATGACCACGTAACTTGATGTCACGGTGTTACATGACTATGACGTCAGTGTCACTTGACCATGTAACTTTATGCCACAGAGTCATGTAACTTGACACTACAATGTCATCGGACGCTGATGTCTGACATCATTGTGACGATTAATGACACATTGTGACATCCGACACCAGACGTCATACTGTGATGCTGGTGACATCATATGAGGGCACATGACACACCATGTGTTAAGTGTCAGGACGTGACATGGATCGAGTTAGTGTCACACGACCATCGTCTGCTCAATTTAGCAAAAAAATGTTGCACTATAACAGCCCTCAAAATTTGCATTCTGCATAACTCAGACTTCACACTTAGAATAAAGATGGTGAATTTTTATATTTGGGCACCAGGTGCATGAACGGAGTAAATGTTTCAAAGAAAAGACTGCAGCCCACATTCTTTGAACCTTTTAGTTGTCAAGAGAATAGCATTGGTCTAGCAAGTTAAGCATTTTGCACTTTTTTTTTTACAGTTTTAAAGAGGTTTTTTTAGGAACAGAAAAGGGATCATTAAAGTCTACTGTTATTTGCAACTTTTAGCGATAGTGGTACCGCGGTGTGAGAATCGCGCTCCCTAGCTCCTGGATGATTGGCCTCTTAATAAAAGGGCTTGCCTACACCTTCCTGGCGTGAAACAATAACGTAAGGCTCTGATACTGCTCATATATAGCAAAACTAGAATTATTTGCGCGTCGCAGACCCAGCCTCGTACCGCTGTTCTACGACGATCATCCAGATGACAGCCATTTTGATATGAAAGTTGTGAATATTGATCCTTGTTATTGTCTTATTTCATTTCTCATAGCTTGGTGAACAGAAATTCAAGTGCATTTTTTGTTATTTATTTATTACATTCTGTGAACCAGCAGTCAAATAGATCACAAAGTGCTAAAACAGAAAAAAGGAGTAACACTCGCACAGTAAGTTCTGATTTGTCAGGCTATGTTTGGTACTTGAAGAAAAAAGTTTTTGTTTATCCTTAAAAAAATGAGCTCAACCAAAGTGGAAACTACCTTGAAAAGACTGCATTGACATTTGGTGTGTTTTAAGTGGCCCCACAATGAAATGCAATGATCTGAAGAAACTGATTGGGTGTTTTATTGTGGTTGTGAAGGTTGCAGTAAAACTGTGCTGCTTCTATTTCAGTTTAAAAACAAAGTATTTGCAATTTAATTGTGCACACCAATGGCATGTAGGGAGTAAAAATGCCTTCCTCAAATATTGAAACAGAAAAAAAACAAAACTCAACCAATATTGCATTCAGTTTGTCAGGATATTGTACTCTTTATTTCAATATACTAACTCCAGTTTTATTTTGTAAATTTTACTGCATCACAGAGTTGTTACATTAGCTTTTACCAATTTTAAGTTTTTCAATTCCCGACTGCACCATTCCACTCTGAAAGGGGCTATTTTTTCTAAGCGAGCGGCTGTGCTCTGGCTTAGAGGGATGCTCGGAATCGCAAAGCCTGGCTTGTGAATGTTGCTTCGCTGCAGGAGCTACTAACTAGCATGCCTGAACAGGCTGTGAACATAAATATTGAAGAACTTTCAAGTAATTTCAGCTTTAGATAGAAATATGGTCAAAATTAAAAGTAATTAAAAGTAATTAAAAGTTTTGAGAACTCGCACAAGCTCACCTTGATAATCTGCGGTGTAGTGGGGCCTGAGCTATCAGCTTTAGTAACAAGAAATGGAAATTAATTTTTATCACAGTGTTGATGAAAATCCTTATATCCTGGAAAATGGACCAGAATGTATTAAGTAATCATTTTATTTAGCACAGATTTGTGCAAATGGTGCTGGAATATTATCACTAACATTTTTTTATCTGCTGTGTTGCATTTGTATTTTTTTTTTCCCAACAACTTCAGAGGAGCTTTTTCTCCAACAAGAAATAAATGCAAAATCACTTTTCTTTATATCTTCCTTGGTACTGTGGTACTTGGTACTTCTTTAAACTGTGATGTATGCTTATTTTTGTACATCTTTGCCTCCTTCAGTGTTATTTCCGACCATAAATTGAAAAGATGCGCAATTTTGTGACTAAATGCAGGCCACCTCTTCGCCATCCTGTTCAAGAATTCTGACAATCGATGGAAGCAATTGTGTGGCATCTACATCAAGCTCTACAGAGTCTGGTTCTACATTTAAGTGTGAGTGCTCAAGCATCTTTTGTATGACCATATTTTATTTTCATTAAAATTTTGTGTGGAAGTTAGTGTGAACCAGTGCCAGTTAAGATTGCAGTGTAGTTGAATGCTGCCGTTTACGGATGGCACTTTCAGTTACCGAGGATGTGACCAGGAAGTTTATTTTGAAACGGCACGAATTGCAGCACCTTTTCACTGGCAAGAGGAACACCGGAAAGTATGGGTACCAGTAAGTGTTACCCCATTCTGGGCTTTCCTTTGGTCTTTCCAAGTAAAATTATTTTGCTCACTTGATGATACTTCTTGTCTCAGGAATGGTAAACTCCTTTATTCTGTTCATCCTTAAGCAGAGACTGCAGCCAATATGCCACAAGCACGAGAGCTCAAGGTCGCTGCTTTGAAGCGTTCTTCAAAGCAGCGATCTTCAATGCATGTCTCAAAGCTAGGAGCACAAGCTAGCTCGTGCTTGTAGCTTTGGCTGCAGTCACAGCTCAAGGGTGAACACGGTATAGTTGCCTGGTGCTCCCAGTCCTGCCTCAAAAGCATTAAGCACTGAAGTGCTTGTAGAACATATGAAGTCGAGTGCTGGGGCCGGAATTTCCAGGCCCGGCCTGACTCGTCCCCATAGAGACACGACCCCAGCCCGACCCGAGCCTGACAAAAAATATAAGCCTGACCCCGGCTTGAGCCCAACAGATTACATACACGAGCCCGAAAAAGTTTGCGAAACCTAAAAACTGTTTTTGGTTTTTCTTGCACAATAAATATCCCAACTTAGAGATGCATTTTCGAGAATGTGGGCAAAATATGCACTTCATGAGTGATTTTGAAGGAAAAAAAGTGGAGAATATTGACGCATTTCTTGGAGAGATATCAGACTTTTCGTTGTTCAGTTCGTTTCACAGAGAACTTTCCTCTCTACATGTTTTTGTGAAGAAACAATCACGCTAGTGCATCTTCAAAAGGCTGTATAAACATTAAATTATTTACGGTAGTTCACTTATCTTTGGTGGCAAAGCAGGGGAAAAAGAAACTCATGTTGTACCCTGCGACTGGAGTGCCCTCGTTTTTTTTTTTACCGCAGTTTCTTGCTATGCTGGCGGAATCGATATGCTTCCTTTTATCCATGTAAAAACTTTCCGAACACAAGCCTTTTTTTTTTATTAAGGTCTTGGAGTGATTTTGCATTTCGCTTGTTTGATTTCATTGGACCTAAAAGATCAATGAGCACACTTTTTGTTTTCAACAATGTAAAATGTGTGGCACATGACGCCCAGGCACGGCCCGAAAAATGTTTCGTTCAAGCCCGAGCCCGGCCCGGGCCCGAGGAAATGCGTGCTACCCGGCCCGAGCCGGTGCAGTACTCTAATGTGAAGTGTAGGCTTGTATAATGGAAGGTTGATTCCGAATATTGTTACACAAAAAAGCCTACTTTTCAAGGCTTTGCAACAGCCATGATGGAAATTAAGCATAAATACATGCTTCCTCAGTCCTTGTTGCCACTAGGGATGTCGCGAACCACCCTAGGTTCGATTTCGAAAGGTTTCGATATTTGCGAAGCGAACTGAGGTTCGATTTCGAAAAATTTCGATATTTTCGTACCGAACGAGGTTCGATTTCGAAAAATTCGCAACTTTTGACCACAGCGGAGTTTCGAATTCGAAAATTTCGAAGCTTTCACGGTTTCCAAAATTTCGAATTCGAATATTTCGAATATTTTTTACTTCAGGTTCGATAAATTCGAAGATCTCGAAATTCTTCGTAAAAAAAATTCGAAAACTTCGAACGCTTCGAATTTTTATAGACATGAAGTTCGAACAATTCGAAGATTTCGAATTTCTTTTTGCATAAAGTTCGAAAAGTTCGAAGGTTTCGATTCTCTTTTAACGCTAAATTAAAAAAAAAAAAAAAAAAAAAACTTTGAAGATTTTGAATTTCTTTCTAATCCAAGTTTTCAAAGTTCGAAGTCCGATGTTCAAGTTTTTCCACAGTTTGTTTCAAATAACGTTTTCACGACTCACTGGTTTTCACGAAATCAAGTTTAGAAAAGTTAGGGTGTGATATCTAGATTCTGCGAATGAGACGACGAGTGTCCCGGACGTGCTACACTTCGTTTCAGCTTCGGTCCGAGCGCGGCCGATGTTATGAGCCGAAGGGCCAATCAAACAGCGAAAGAGGCACAACGTCATGGCGTGCTCTCTGCAGTTGATAGGACCAGCGTGCTCTCTGTGCGTGCTCCTTCGCCTGCTAGTCCTATCAAGCGCAGAGCGCGCGCCTTGACGTTGCGCTCTTTACGCTGTTTGATTGGCCCTTTTGCTCGTAACATCTGCCGCGCTCGGACGGAAGCTGAAACGAAGTTTTGCCAGTGCAGAATTGTGACCGCCAGCCCCCCGGGGGGGGGGGTTGTCTTTAACCTGCATCACGCAGTAGTGATTGCACGAACACACTGTTTTACGAGACTCATCCAGTTCGAAACGGCCAGGGGCGAGCAGGAGGTTGAGGCTCAGAAAAACCTTGAAGCGACCTGGCAAACTAGCTCGCCACCCCTTGCACGCTGGTAGTAATCCGATCCGGTGAAGTTTATAATTGTCCTGGAGGTTTATTTTCTGGGACGGAGGAATCGCCTGGCAAAAAGCACAAAAGCCGACACAACTCGAGGTCGAGGAGCGTTCTACCATACAAGTGGCGTCGGAAGAGGAAAAACGGGGGGAAAGAGGGTAGTGGGGGGGGGGGGGGGGGGGGGGGGTGCTTCAGCCTCCTTCTCCCCCTTGCAGGTATTTCGAACTGTTAAAGAAAACAATACGGGGAAAGAGGGCGTGGTCGAGCTTATTTTAATCTGAAATTATTTATGCATATGTATAGCTACTGTCGCTCTTCACTGCATAAAAGGTTGCGTAGACGGTCATTGTTAGAAACTCGTTGTCAGAAGGCACTGCTCGTCACATGCTTAGTGGTTCGGAAGTTCAAAGCTGTCTTTTCGACCTAAACACCTGTGCCGATAGTAACAAAAAAAAAAAAAAAGAATAAATGCGGGAATAAAAAGCAGGAGAAAAAAAAAAAACTATCAAGAATTCGTCGGAAGTGTTCTATTCTTGCATATTCAGAGGTTCAGAACTTCGAAACAAGTTTCTTTTACCAAAATGTGTACAGGCTAAAAGAAACACGTCCCAGGAACGTGAAGCGAAAAAAAAAAAAAAAAAGTTTTCTTTTAATGACGGGTTGAACTTGAACACTATTAGAAATCTTCTCCCATGAGTTAATTTATTCCTTAACGTGAAAAAACAATAAATATATTATTTGGTATTCTGCATATGGCAATGATATGTACTGTCTGTGGTGTTAATTTAAATGCGATACCTCAAACAACTTAGACGAAAATAAATATCAAGTTTAGGTCATAATTGCATGCAGATACATGTTTGGACATTTCTTCGAAACTCACGTTGAATAACAATAATCACATCTTAAGACGGCACTTACCTAGGCTATACATAGATCATTCTTAAAAAAAAGTATAACATATCTACCATAAATAGCTCCGGCTGCAGCGTGCTTCAAATCTGGCACAAACGATAATCATCAAAAACCCGTCGTCCTTCCTCGCCCCTTCGGGGATTTATTTCTTTAAACCTAAGCATGCCAGAACATTGAAATAAACGACATTGTCTTTCGTAAGGAACGCAGCACCGCGTGTAAAAGTTCGAGAAAAAAAAATTACGAATGTACCCCACTACTTGAAATCAAATGAAACCGTCCGCCGGTCTTTCGAAGTTCGACGAACGTCGAACTTTTACCCTAAAAGTTCGAAGTTCGTCGAACTTCTGACTTTTCAGAATCCGAAAGTTCGAAACTTTTCGAATTCTCTTGATAAATAAGTTCGAAAGTTCGAAATTCATCGAATTTTTTGGTCAGTCAAGTTCGAAAGTTCGACAAGCATCGAACCTTGCAGCGCAATAAGTTCGAAAGTTCGAAAAAGATCGAATTTTTTAGCGTAATAAGTTCGACGGTTCGAAAAGCGTCGAACTTCTTAGCTTAACAAGTTCGAAAATTCGACCTCCGTCGAATTTTACAATATAGACAATTCGAAAAATCGAAATCTTTCGAACCTTTCGAACCGCTTGATTCGATCATCGAAACTTCGATTCGAAAAAAGTTCGCGGCATCCCTAGTTGCCACGGGAAATATTTCTACTTACGGTACAAACTAAGGAGAGACTGATGTGAAGCATGCCTTCCAGAAAACTCTTGAAATCTCAACCTCTTAAACTCTTAAGTCCACTTGATGTGTGAGACACCATAGATAGTATTTGAATGGGTCTTCCTGTTAGCTGAAGTTGTTTGGCTTCCCAGTAATGGTTAAGAGGCAGAAAAGCTTAGTTTTCAAATGATAGGGATGACATAAAAACAAGATCTGGTTTTATGAGTTCTGCATGTTACTTCACATATATATGTAATGTGCAGTGAATGTTTCTACTGATCTGTGTGTCACTGTACTTGCATTCTAGGCGCATCATCAGAGAGCTTGGCTTGCATGGAGCCACAATCGAGCAATGCCGCAAAAAGTGGCTTAATCTTCTAAAGAAGTATAAGGTATGTAAAAACAAACTGACAAAACCTTATTTTTGAAAGAACATTCCTGGAAAGCAACATAGGTATATTCGTCTACAATGTTGAGGCAAACGCATATGTATATATTAATTTTCTTTTACAATATTTGATACACTCACAATTAGTCTTGTGCATTCTACGTGCCGACCTTGATTTTGTTGTCCAGCGATGTTAGTGGGAAAGGGATTCTCTAATGTTCTTTGTTTGGGAATGCATTAAATTACCATAATCATAAAACAAAAGTATTCAAACCTTGTTGGGCTGTAGTGTACCAGTCTTCAACATATTCACTGCAACCTGATCAGGCTGTCATCATCATTTATTTTCCTTGACCCACAAGGGAATAGAGACCCTTTGAGGAACTACAGAAGCAAGCTTTTGTTTCTGGCTTTTTAATGTACCTACCGTTGACGATAGTGACCTTTACTTCTGTATATACTGGGTGTTTCTGTGAATACTTTTGGAAATTCCTAAAACTAGAATAATTGCAAAAAAAAAAAACTTTAAGAACAATTTGTTATGCAGCCATGGCAGATGTTAGGAATCGCTATAAAACATAGTGATTAGCAAAATGGTTACCTGAAGTCTACTCGTTAACTTTTTAATATGTTTATGTTGCAAATTTAAAGTTCAATTAGTAAATTTTAGGTAATCATTTTGCTAATTAGTGTTCCTTGCAATCCCTGACGTTCGTTGTGGTGGGCAGTTGGTTCTTTTTTAAAAAGAGTCATTTGTTTCTCAGCCACCCTAGTTTTATGAATTTTTGAAAATATTTTCACAAACAAACATTCTATTCCTCTTATGTTTCTTTGCCAAGCCTAGGCCTTCTGATATGCAAACATATGATAAGTTAAGCATGTGCAAGCAGTGATCCTTATTTGGGGGTTGAATTGAATCAACAATTCATCTGAATCAATGTCAGACAAGTTATCTTGAAAAAAAAAAAAGCATTTATAATTTGCATCAAGACATTGTCAAAACAAAGCATAATAATAATAATAATTCCTTTATTTTCCATCGAAGATGGGGGAGGTGGAGGAAAAAAGCTGCTATAGAGCAGCTTTCTCATGAAAGTGCAGCCCCCATCAGCGCCCCCACCCCCCTCCCTTCCTGGTTACGCCACTGAACTGCACTGACAAGTCGGTTTTACTGTTCGCCATACTGACTAAAATTTCCTAGCAAAACACTGGCATGTCAGAGGTGTGTATGTGAGCACGCCTCAACTCGAAGCATGGGGATCAAAAGCTCATGCTGTAGGACCCAGGGGTGCTGGGTTCAATTCCCATCCATGTCTGTTTCAATCTGGACAAGCACTACACTGCTACACTACTGGCATTTGGTCATGTATTGCCACTGCTAGATGCATGGTAAAGACTCTGGGCTGGGCTGGGCAGTATCGCAATACAAATGTATTGTGAGAGTATCTTAGAGATAGTTCGAGTATCTGTATCTCTGTATCGAGATACATTTAAAAAATGTATTTGTAACTCAGTAGTGAAATACAGTTACAATGTATCACTTGTATTGCAATACTTTGTTACCTTGTTACATTTGTTGCTGTTTATTTGTATAATTTAAAAGATAAAAACATGTGTTTGGTAAAAGGTGCTTCAGAATTTATAATATGAACCTACCCTATAACATAATCCGCCAATCACCAATATAAAAAAAAACAAAAAAACTGTGGTTTAAAAAAGGTTATTTGCAATAAATAACAGAATCAGCTCTTCTCGCAAAGCTCTCCACTCTTTCCAGTTTAGCAGAGCAAATGCTGTAAAAGAGTTGAGTGGAGAAAAGGTATGGCTCTGTCATCAAATTTCCCAACGTTATGGGCGACTCAGAAAAATATAAGATGAGTTTGAGGTACGCCGTCACAGCAAAACAAAATTCATTTCGTGCAGACGATTTTTGTCAAGCATGGCATGCAGTCTTTACCGTTCAGTAACTATGTGGTTCACTGGAAGTGACATGTTTTTTTAGCGACATTAATGATAAATAAAAAGTTTGAGGTAACAAGGAGTGCATAAAATGACACAGAAAGAGAAGCACAAGCATAAATTACTATTTGCATTCACCACAAACTACTACACACTCCCCACATAGCACCGTGCGGGAACAAATGTATTTCTATAAGTATCTGTATTCCGGAATACTTTTTCAACGTTTTTGCAGAAGTATCTCGGGGATATCCCGTTGCACCAAAGACAAATAGTTTCTGTATTTTGGACCTTTTAATACATGTATCTCGGTATTTGTATTCCCGTATACTTTTTGTAGTATCTCTGTCCAGCCCTGACCCCAGGCTAGTAGTCGTGCTGCACCGCTACATTTCTCATCTATGGCATGAACCAGCCTCACCGTACTATGGTAGACCAACTTCATGGTGTCTAAGCATCTGACGTCTAGCTTGCTTCGACTTTCGTAGCATTGTGTACCTTTGTGGAACCTTGCTGGACAAACAAACATGAAAAAAAAATTTCAGAAACAAAAATATAGAGTTGTACATTAATATGGTACTATTGCATTTTCCCCTAGGAACTGAGAACGACAAACACTGAAGATGAGGTGCTGACATGGCCTTACTACTCGTTACTAGACTCGGTGTTGAGCGGCACTGCAATTAACCTCCCATATCTTGTTGCCGTGGCGACAGGAGGGGCAGAAGAGTGCAGTGAAAGACTCAATGAGGTTTGTACATTGAATGTGCTTGTCGGTAGGACCTCTTCCTATTTGGAAGCCACTCATTCCCGTTGAACAAACATTAGGACAGGCTACAGCGAAATTTGGCACCAAATACTTTTTATCTTGCAGCACTGCTAGATCAAATTGAGAAATAGAATTTATGATGGGTGAGGACTTATGAAATAAAAGGTGGCCTTGCAATTAATAGATTCTTACCTATGCAGGTTTTCTAAGATGGTGAGGAACATGTGCAAAGCTAGAGGCTTCCTTTTTTTTTGCTTCTTTAGATTTTGTTACAGCAGGCAATCCGTCCTGTAACTGCAGGATATAAACTCAATATTGTGACTGTGTTTCGGTCACAATAAGAAATAAATAAATGGACTAATGTTGTGTGAAAATATGGCCGGTTTTTGTTTTTTTATGGTTTTGTTTTGACAACTTTAGTTTGTTTAATCATGGCTCATTCTCTTACTGTTGGCGATCCTCTTTAGTTTCCATGAAAACAAAATATATATATATATATATATATATATAAAAAACACTAGAAACATAATTTAGTGTTTTAAATTGAACTTGAGTGTTTGCAGTTTATATAAATTGGATTTCTTTATTGATTTCTTTAACCAAATGCACAAGTGCCATTGATATATCCAAATACCAGCAGGAAGCTGATTCAAGGTTTTTTTTCCCAATAAAAGCGACTTTTCTTACAAAGCTTATGCCTATTCACTTGCATACCTTGCTTACATCTATCATGTAGATTTTATCCCCAAATTGTTATTTTGTCTGTGCAAGTTCTCGTTAAAAAAAAAAAAAAAGGCCTCGACTACCGTAATATCCCGAGCCATCGCCCACCCCATTTTTTGGGCCAATATCGATTTCCGAAAAAACACCGAGTCATCGCCCACCCCTTCAAATACCCCAGCGCGGACTCAGCGATCCGTGAACACTCATGCTACCCGAATGACGCGGCCGCGGACCTTACAGTTGGAGGACGTCCGTGACAAAGTAAAACGAAGGAGGGAAAGACACTTCTTTTTGTTTACGCATTTCCTCCGTGAGCGACCCCGAAGTGGTTGTGTATCCGTGCGAAAAGAAAACGATGGAGATAACAAAATAAGAGTTTGTTAATGTAACCGCGGAGTGTTAGGTCAGTCTGTCTCCGCCGAAGTAAGGTCACCGCGAACCCGCTCCTTCTTCCCGCCCGTCGCGACCGCGGTTGTGCAATATTTTAGGCAAAGCCAACGCGTAAATAAAGCTTTGCTGGAACGTAGACGTTTGCAGAGCGTCCCAACCGTGCATTGATAGCCCGCCGTGCACCGACGCACGTATGTACGCACCAAACAAGAAAGTTGCGCAAGAGCTTGTAATTGACAAGGCGCCCGACTTGGCCCGACGCCAAAGTATTTGCCAACACGACCGCCGGCTTTCCCGCTTTCCCAGCATTGCTCTTGGTCGCTTCTTTGGTCTGCTCGCTCGCTCGCTCGCTCGCTCGTTGCGCCTGGTTGGTTTTTCCATTTTCTTGTAGACTTTTCTTTCTTTTTTTTTTTTTTACTAACTAGGAGAACATAGTGGTGACATTCTTTCGCGGAACAAACGTTCGCGCTATATGCAGATCGGCGGTGTTTCTAGCGCGTATGCAAGCAACGGACTTCGCTATAGTAAAATATTCTTTATTGAGCATTTTTTTCTATAAAACAATGAAACTAAATCGAGTTTTGAGTTTGATATATCTCTTGTGCATCAGCGCTAGATACGCAGAGAAAAATAGGCGTTTTTTTCCGCTTTTTTTCAATTGTTTGTGCTCACCCACCGAGACATGGCCCACCCCACTTTTTTATGAATTTCAGGCGGTAGGGGGGTGGGCGATGACTCGGGATATTACGGTAATTGCGGTTGTTCTTGAGAGTCAACCTTACATCCTCAAGCAAACATTCATTAAAAAATAAATCTCAGATTTTTACGTAAGATAATGGGATGTAATTACCAAGCTATACACTTCTAACCGTACATAAACATCGGTCAGCTTTTCCTTCAAACAACATACCATAGACTTTATTTTTGCACGCTCAGTAGTATCTTCCAAATTTTGTCAAATCTGCGTTTCGGAAATATTTAGCAGGTACAAAATTTTGTGAGTGAGAGTGGTATGCTCAGTTATTCTTTATCATATGGCGATATATTAGCATGATAAATTTTTTGCTCTACTTCCGAGGTTTTGAAACTGCGAATATTGTAGACTGTTGCAGGCTGTTGTAACTGAAAAAGGAAAAACCCACAGAATAAAAAGTAGGAGAGGCGGAGAGCCCACAGAGGCTTGCGGAAAGCAAAGATGATCTCGCATGCCGAAGACTGCGATAGCCGGCGAGGCCCAGAAACCAGCGCACTTATCGCCGGCAAAAAAAAAAGACGTCCAAGTCGGTTAGAAGTTCAGGCCACACTGTTTACTGAAAGGGCTTCAGCACGGGGCCTCAACACGGGGCCTCGCACCCTGGGACAAAGGTGGACATGATAGTGGGTGGCACCATCTAGGTAGTGTAGAGTTCACTAACAAACAAAAAAAATCAAGTACTACACTTTCTAAAAGGACTAGACAAGCTCCTCTCGCAAAGCTTTCCGCTCTTTCCACTTTAGCAGAGCAAACTCTGGAGAAGAGGCAAGCCCCTTCACCTCCTCGTGTCCAGAGTTCGGTCTAACCTGCAGCAGACTATAGGTCCTCGCGAAAATTTGGTTAATGACAGTATTTGGTGTCTTCGAAACCCTGATACAATTGTTGAAGTAAATTTGCACAAATCTGCATTCATCCTTTAGGACGTGACCCTTCAAGAAGACCAACTCCAGGAGGAAGAGGAAGAACCCGTTCGCCCTCCCCCTAAACGGAGACGCTCCGACGACCTGACAGAGCGCCTGCTGCACAACATGGAACGCCAGACAGAGCTCATGGAGCAGATATTCCAATTCTTTAAAGCTCGTGCTAGTCAGAGCTAGTTTTCATCGCGCAACCTCGGGGAACAGACCTTCTGCTAAATTAGGCAAGCACTAAGGAACATATGCTGCGAGCATAGCTACACACACTGCACGTGCCAGCATCCGCGTCATTAATGGATCTAAAACGAAAGTAAAACAATGGCATCTTGCATGTCCATTCATTGATGCTTGATTTTGGTTATTTACTTTTAATGTTTTGTACAGGGGAGGTGGCTGCGTGCACCTACATTCCCAGCATTCTCCTTGATGCTTGGGTAATTTAGCAATAGGTCTAGTGTAAAGATGCAAACTGCAATGAGATCTTTCCATTTTGTTTGCCTCCGACTTCTCATTAAAAAACACAACGAATTATACATGTGCTCGCTCTGCAAGCGAAGACTGAGATATGAGATTGATGAGCACGTTAAAGCAACACTGAACTCCCAAAAAACGTTTTTAGTTACATACCTGGATGGGGCACGAATGTCAAACAATAAATCTTTGCTCTGAAAGAACCGACAAGAAATTGTAGCATATCATTTACTCGCAAGACTCGTTCAAACTATTCAGAGACTTGCTTCTATTTTGGGGTTGACATCTCAAAATAGAAGCACACTTCTGAATCGCTCCTGACACAGAAGATGTCTCTCAATGTAAACATTACGCTAAAAATGTTACTTTACCGGGGAAAGTTTATTTTGTGACATATGTACTTTTCACTTATAAAAGAAAATATTCTTTTCTGGGAGTACAGTGTAACTTTAAGTGTTTTCTTATGTAACTTGCACGCACACACTCACTTGTACACACGGATGAACGAGAATCCAAGTGCCAGCCTACACCGTCAGACGATAGTTGTGATCATGAAGTTCGGAGGGAGGGCAAACGAGTCGGGCAGCAATTTCGTCTCTCCACGCGGTGCCCGCCGCGTCGTCTTCCACCGCCTCCAGAGCCTCGTCAGTCTCCTCCACTGCCTCTCCATCGGCCTCATCCCCCTGCAGGCTGCACTGCTCCACGACGGCTTCGAGGGAAAAGTCACCGAGGCAGGTGCATACATTGTGCATTGCCGCGCACGCCGCAACCACTTGGGGTGCCTTTTGGATAGACACCTGGAGCGGCTTGGTGAAGACGGACTTCCACCTGCCTTTCATCAGAGCAAATGCCTGCTCCACGACGCAGCACGCCCTCGCGTGGACCGCGTTGAAGTGCCTCTGCACGGCATCCCGCGGAGCGCCGTACGGCGTCGCGATGGCGACGGGCGCATCGATGCACGGGTAGCTTGAATCGCCGAGGAGCGTCGAGCCTTGTGGCGGGTACAGTGCGCCAACGAAGAGTGGGCTGTTCTCGAGGACGCGCGAACAGGGCACGCTGCCGGGGTACCCTGCAAAGACATCGAGAAAGACTCCCCTGTGGTCGCATACTGCCTGCATCTGGATCGAGTAGGATGCCCTCTTGCGACAGTAGTAGTCCATGTGCATCGACTCTGGTGCCTGGACCTGGATGTGGCAGCTACCGACGACTCCCGCACAGCTCCTGAACTTGTTGTCGCGTGCCAAGCTCGCAAAACTGGCTTTGATTTCCCGGAGGTCTTCGGACGTTGGGAAGTAGACCATTCTGTCGAGCTTTGATATAATTCTTTCGAGGACGCGGTTGACGACGCTGAACGTGGTGGTCCTTGGCGTGTTGAAACAGGCAGACACCACCTTGAAGACTGCACCGCAACCGAGCCAGAAGAGAAAGATGAGAAGTTCCGTCTCGTGCGACCACCCGTGGGACTTGGTGTCCGTGTCGTCCCAGAGGGTCTTAAGGAGGTTCCTGAAGGAGCTCCTAGTGATCCTGAAGTGCTCCCTAAAGTCGAGGGTTTCGTTGTTGAGGTACTCCAGCAGGAGGCACTTGATTCTTGGCTGGCAGTAAGGCCCTCTCTTCTGAAAGTGGTAAGCTCTGTGAATGTTGTTGTTTGAAAGCAGAGGTTGTCGTTAGTAGAGTTATTCAATTCTGCGACTGGTTACCTTTGTACCTTTCATTGACCTGTGCTGCTGGGATTTCACCATTAAATGCCACTGGGGCTGGGAAAAAACATGGCATACACAAGTAGGCACAATGTTGAATGTTAGCAGCACAGATCAATCGAACAGTAATAAACTAAGTAACACAATTGCAATAACTGCCAATCCCTTCACATGTTACACCAACTTGCCAGAATTAAAACAAGGTTTTTGTTTGTTTTTTTATTGTCAATAGAGTAAAGCTATACGCACTCCGGAGTGCGCTTCGGACGGAAATGGCTATACGCACTCCGCTTTTCTCGTATAAAAAGAGTGGACAGAACGAGTTTCCTAAGCGGTGCCATGGCGTAGTGGTTAGGGTGTCCGCTTCATATGCAAGTGGACGCGGGTTCGATCCGCGGTGGGCCTACTTTTTTTTTTTTTTTTTCTCAAACATTTTGTTTTGTTGAGGCATTTGGCGATATTTACGACATTTCCTTTTTTGCAATGAACAGTAAAAAAAAAAATCGAATGTTGTCGAGAAACTTTGCAGAACTAAATGGTATCGGACTCCCTTTCCGGAGGTGCGATCGGGGACAGCGGGGCTTGGATTGCCGGCTGGACGCCGCGAAGCGGCGTGTACTGGTTACGCTTAGTAATTAGCAGCCAATACTGTCGCCGCGAAGCGGCGTGAACGCAGGCGGGGGGCTGTGTTAACGAGCGCCCCAGTGATTCACGCGCCGTTCGAAAAGGGTGGCCCGAGCGGCATGATCTCTCGGAGGAGTGCGTATAGCCATTTCCGCGCGAAGCGCACTCCGGAGTGCGTATAGCTTTACTCTTGTCAATATGAACGAAGCACTTGCGGCATGCTCCCAACAAAAATTACTGCTACCCCATTCCAACCTGTCAAACGAGCAAGGACCTTACTCTAAAGAGTAAAAGTGCTTATTAGGAAAGACAAGGTTGTAGTAGTATTTATAAGTTGAGAAACATTGCGACGAAAGCAGCGCCTTCGGAGCTGATAGCATTAAACCAACTGCGCTCACTTTGGGTTTCCGTCGGTTAGCTTGGATGGACTCCCAGGAAGACGGCAATCTCCGCGCCAAGTGTTGATACACGGCAGCGTTTGTTGTGCAGATCCATTGAGCCAGCAATCCCAGAACGAGCAACACATCTTCATCGGAGTTCATGGCAGCAAAACACCCGTGCAGAGGATATGTTCTCTAACGGAGACGGCAGTTAATCAACATATCCTCTCTCAAACGCCATGAGCATTCGGCCAGCTCATTTTTGTTATGCGAAAATCTGCGTGAGTACGAGTTTGCATTGTTTGCATTTTGATTGCAAAAAAACGTTTCGGCGGGCCTCGCTTTTGACGTCGAGCTGGTCGGACCTTAAAGTTCGATTGGTTCGCCGATCCTTGGTATTTTCCGTATTTTCACTAAAGTTCGAAGAAGTTCGACTTATGCGCAGTGTTGCCCGGCTTTTACACGAATATTTCGAATTTTGGGAAACATAATTAAGAGAGAAGTTTTTTACATTTTATAAGAAGGTTCCCAATGTTTACGCCTTATAAAACCGAAATTATTTGCTTTTAATGCAGTAATGTGAACCAGTGATGGGGCCAATCATATGATTGTCTTCTTAGACTTGGATCAGGTGGCGCAAGCTACCGCCCGTTACAAAACGTATGGCCATTGTTTCTTCCGTTTTTTGTTTTGTTTTGTTTTGTTTTTTGTAGAAGCACATGGGGCACGCAGGGCACGTGTGTCGCGACTCCCAGGTAGAACGACGTGAAAAGGTGACATTTTCACGTTCGGCAACGTTTGAGGGTTCTTTTTACAATCAATGCGTTCAAGAAACGCCTGGGAAGTCCGCAACACGCTGGGTTTATTCAGGAACTCCGTCCACAAAACTTCGTTGACACGGCGTCGATTCTTGATCGGCATCCAAGCGTGCGAAGGCACAGAGACGCAGCACTTTGGCGTGCCAAGGAAGCGTTGAACACGCCACGAGACCGGCGAAACTTGCTTTCGATAAGTTGTGCCTTTTTCCTGCGGCACTGCGCTTTCGTAAAATTTCCACGTGTTCTCAACAGCGAGTATCACAGCTCACAGTCTATCTTTTTTTGCGGTTTCCACGTCTCTTGTCTCTTGGGGTTCGGGCAAGCCAGTGGGCACTGAGAGAGTTACTAAATATCAGTGCGTCATATTTTAACCGGACGACGCGGAAACCTCTACCTACGGGGGCGACCCGCGTCGCCGAAAACGCGCGAAATGTGACGTCTTTGGTCGTGGGCTTATTACTGGTCAGAGCCGCTAAAAGCTTCTTTTTAGTCGAAATACAAAATATGAGTCGCGCGAACCGTTTATATTATTTATAAAAGTAGTTTTTGTTCAGCATTTTAGATCAGAAAAGAAAAAAATGCAGTTTATAAAGTATGTACACAAAAAATGACCCGTCGACATCCCTGCCACCAAGTGGTGGAAAAGGCGGCGCATACTAGAAAGGTATAGTGTGATCAGACACCAACGAATGGCGAGCAAAGAAAGTCCTGGATGTACGCGGCAGCACTGCAGTTGAGGATCCGACCGGTTCAGGGTGTTCCCAAGGTCTTCGGCGAGCAGCTTTTGCTTGCTGTTTGGCCCTTTGGCATTATGGCAGCGCGAAGTGGCTCCCATTCTGAACTGATCTTTACCCCGTGTTTGCTGTCGATTGCATGCCCAATGAAGTGTCATGCCGAATTGGTGTGTAATCGCGCAGCAAATGCAATGCGAGCTGCCCTGGCTGCCTGTTTCATACAGCCTATCCAGAACATGCTTTAATGGCGCCCTCTCGAGCCGTCAACACGGAGTGCAGCAGCTGTGAGCGCTCTATGAGCTCACTACCCCCTCCTCTAGTTCACGGCCACTCGAGCAACCAAGGACGTCACGAAGGAGGTTATTTTATGCTTGTTTTTGTAATTTTAATTTGCCTATAACTTTTAAAATAAAGCAAAGTTTGAGAAAAGAACAGTTTCATTAAGGTACTACGTTTAGTGTGCTCAGGTTCAGTGCAAATAAAAAAACAGTAAAAAAGTCCTTGCAGGGCCCCTTTAAAGACCGTTTTCAGCGAATGACGACGAACAAGTAGAAAACGCATGCTGCCGCCAACCTCCGCAGCGCTAGCAAAAAAAAAAAAAAAAAGTCAGCATGCAAGATGGCCATCCGGTGGCCGCCCTCACGGAGCAGGAATGCGCGACCTTATTGCGAATATGTGCTGCCACCTAGTCGCGCGATAAGTGGCTAAAAAATGCTGCGCGCAAGCAAGGAGGATAGAAGGGTAGGAGAGGGCATGATGTCAGCTGCATAGCCTCCACAACCCCTCCACAAGCCATGCTCCCTTCGCCTCGCCTCTTTCTCATTTTCCTCCTAGCCCTCCTCACTTATCCGGCCAACGTGACCACATCACGTGACCGTAGCTAGCCTTTGTCTAGCCAACATTGGTCTAGCCTTCGATCTGATAAAACCTACCGGAGGGAGCGCGTGCAAGCCTGCAAGGAATCCTTTTACAAACAACCATCCATCTCACACGTGACATGTCACGCATACCCATTGCCAGAGAGATCTGTGGTCACGTTGGCCACAACATTGTTTAAACTTCTTATGACTACGCTTCACCAATATTGCAACGTGCCCCCTCCTAGTACTTATAACCTCCTTGCGCGCAGGGCCTCTCCCACCCGTTCGACGCCCAAAACGCCAGCCATATCCTGCTCACCCACTGAGGCACTGTGACCACTACAAGAGAGATAGATCAGTGGCTGTGATTTAGATACGGCTCCCCCAAACTTGCCTTTGTCCTTATCGTGCGTAATCTTCTGCCCCGAAGTCGACACAAAAAAAACATCTTCCCTCTCTGCTCGGCCAGAAGGAAGAGGGAGAGGGTACTAGAGCCATTTACTTTCGAACCAATGTTTCTACAAAAGGTGGGACAGAGCAGCGCTGGACGGAGTGAAGAGTAGCCGCATGCTCTCAAAGTATATTATTTAAGCAACGTCCCGTCTGGTCTATGTAAACACGACCGTAAACCACCTCAGTGGCACAAGGCACAAACTTTATGACGTGTTTCTTGCTGCAAGCAGGTTCCTTCACTTTCGGCCCGCTCACATAGCACACATTTTAGACAATCTGCACGGGGCAGTGAAAACGACGTCCTCGTCGAACAGGGATGCTATTTTTTCCAGATTATCTGACACTTTATGAATGTAGGGTAACACTACAAAATTCTTTGGTTTCCTCTTGGGTGCAGTGGTTGAGCTTTTTAACTTTTTTAGAAGGGATTCCACAACTTCCTGTATTAGAACCGAGGAAAAACCGAAGTGTTTCAAGCAATGTGTCTGGAGGTCAAGAACTATCACTAATTATGGACGGACAAGACTTCAGCAGTGCCGACTGAAGGCACTGTGAGGCGATGCCCCTCTTTATCAATTTAGAGTGGGCAGAGTTAAAAGCCAAAAGGACCCTTTTTGTGCGTGGCCTGCACATCCAGCACACATGGTTAAGGGAAAGACAACCGAACATCTAAAAATTGTAAAAACACCTTTTAACAGAAGTTTGAAGGTAAAATGTAAATGCTTTGAACATTTTCTAAAAACCTCCAGTAAAAGACCAGGCTTTGCTCTAAAGGAACACTAACAAAAATAATGAAATCGTCAGCATACCCTCAAACCTAGATGTAGTAGTTAAGCTAACTTTTTGAACAGGCGGTGGGCGGGCTATATCTACTGATTTGGCGGTACGCCGGATTTCTGTTGAGATTACACGTGTGAACAGCGATAGCAAAGTTGGAAGCAATTTAATAAGCTTTAGGTGCCAGTTAGCGCTTGTCCTGTGTGCTTCTTCGTCTTTTTGTCCTGTCCTTTTTGCGCTATTTTGAATATGAATGTCAATTACCAACTTGCCCAGCAGACCAAGCTTTTATGATAATAGGAGATGTGGCAGTTCGTTCCAAGCTCTTTCTTATCAGCTTGTAGTAATTGAGAATCCCCCTATGGCTTTCTAGCCGCGCCAGCCCAAACGCCACTGGATCACAACATATTGCTGCACCCTGCACGACGACAAACGTTTTCTGTGTCTTACATTTTACCAAGTTAAGGCCCATTCACACACTTGCGACTCCTTAGAACCGAGTGCCTTAAAACCTCTTGAAGTCTATTAGGACAAGAGAACATGCTGACGCCATCTATGCGGTGACCCTGGAACTGCATTTCACTAGAGAAAAGGTTTGGCAGGATTTCTGAGGTCAAATGTGCATACTACCTATGAGAAATGGTGGTTTATAACATGGATAAAAGTTTTCTGAACCAAGAAAGAAAGGACGATGCTAGAGAGAAATAGAAAATATATGGGACCGCGAAGTTTCCACTTCTGCCTGATATATGGCGCCAGCGTGTCTTCTCGTCTAAAGTACCATCATGTTTCAAAAGTAGCGCAAGGTGCATGGATGCACGAAGCACGTGCAGCACTTGGGAAGGTCATGGCGGCACAGCGCAGCACTGAGCTACATTTCAGACGCCCTGTTCTTCCTAGAATTGGCGTGCAGCACGTGTCTCGAGCATTTCCACAACTATGCTTTTCCCAGGACAGAGGGGCTCTCCTCTCGTCATAAGCCAAGGCACTCATTCTTAAAAAGCCCCTCAAAAGAAAAAGTTACTTTTAAACAAACTGGATGGGACACGCATGTTAAAAAATAAATTTTAGGCAACTATTTTTTTCTTTTTACTGCAGTATTGATGGCGAGTATATTTGAAATTTTGCGTGCAAGTCCACAACGTCACTGAATGGACATTTGCTCTTTCGACCTCAACGAGATTGCATTCGCTCTTTCCACGTCGATGTGAAGGTGAAGCCGATCCACCTCTCCTCCATGCACCCGAAATGCTGAGAGAAAACAAGTGGCAAAGAGGTGGCTGCCGACTAAATCGAGTCTTGCGCTGTCAATATTGCTCTAAAAATTTTTATCCCACGTATCATTGTTCATGAAATGGTTAAAGGGGGACCTGCAGAAATATTCTTCCACCTGGTGGAAAGTCCTCCTCGCCCTCGTTTTTGCTCTTTCGCCCCTGTCTAGCTGCATGGCGAGGTGAAGGAAAAGGACCCCAATTGTACCGGCTTCTTTTGAGAGGATAAGCCTAGGATAAGCAGGATTTTTGGCCCCTCGCAAAGCCTAGCCCCCCGGGTAGATGTTTTACGAAGCTGGAAGGCTGCGCCCTGGCAGTCGCCCATTTGAGCTGTCAAAATTGTTTGACTGTAGCCTGTGGCAAAGTAAATGCTTACTGGGAAGCTGCGATGCGTCCCCACACCAACTGAACATGTTTTTCATACTTATTTTCGGCTTCTCAAGTAAGGAGTGCAAAACGCATGCGCAATGATGTGGTAGTTTCAATATGTAAGAATGATTTATATGTTTCCAAAACATCCAGCATCCTCGAAACGCCTGCCTATCACGC